TTGTTATTCGTCATGAAGGTACCCCATTACGACCCTCAGCTATGGCTAAAAATGAAAAGCAATGAATAGCAAACATATCTACAAGTCACAACATAAAAAAAAAAGACTGGGCAACACAAACCCCACCAAATAGGGTGTGATCTCAGGTGACCATGAAGGGTAAGCAGATCATGCCATGTGGTTTTAAGTTTTGTTAAGCTGTTTTAGCCTATAAATATTTTGAAGTATTTTTGATGATAAAATATGCTGATTCTTTAACAAACTCAATTAAAAAAATTGCTTCGCTGAGTGCAGCTGAATACGACCACAGAGGTCCAACCCTGAACAGTTGGGGAAAAATGGACACAATATTCGCGCTTGATACAGGTTTGAATTTGGATTGTTATTAAATATTTGACACATAATAGGTTTCTGACACAGAATAACTGTAGTCAAAGAACTTAGAATTGGTTATATTTTTTTTTTGCTTTTGTGCAATACACTATGCTGTTGCCAATTGACACCCCCCTCAAAAAAAAAAATTTTACCCCCCTTTTTTTTTGCTTTTGTGCAATACACTATGCTGGTGCGAATTGACCCCCCCCCCCCCCAAAAAAAAAAAAAATTGACCCCCCCTTTTTTTTGCAATTTAGCAATTTTTCCATTTGTAAAGGGGCATAACTCTAGAACAGTTAAAGTGATGCCCCCAAAATTCAAACTTGATCTGTGTATTGTGGTAATAATCATTGTGTATAAGTTTCATAACATTTGGATGAGGCAAACTTAAGTTAGAGAACGGAAATGAAAAATTTTGCAATTTTTCCACTTATAAAGGGGAATAACTCTAGAACAGTTAAAGTGATGTCACCAAAATTCAAACTTGATCTGTGTTTTGTGGTAATAAACATTGTGTATAAGTTTGATAACATTTGGTTGAGGCAAACTTAAGTTAGAGAACGGAAACCAATTTTGGGACGTACAGATGGAGGGACAGACAGACAGACGGACAAGGGTAAAACTTAATGCCCCCTCCACTTCGGCTAGGGCATAAAAATCTTTCCCTCAATATATGGTCATAATCTGAATTCAAATTTCCAATGGAGTTTGCAACCATAATTACCCATTTAAATACATCATAAAAGTAATAGAAAATGACATACATAATCATGGCTAAAATTAATATTCCTTCATCAGCATTTTTAATAGTAACTTCTAAAAATAAATTGACAGCTAATCACCTCAAGACAATACAACATTTCTTTATACACAATTTAAAAGCAGTGTGAGGTAATCCAAACATAACATTGTACTTTTAAGTAATTGTCCATTAACCAGGAAACCCTTGTTTTCCCCCTTTTTTGCCCCTTATTCCTAAACGGTTTGAGCCATAACCCCCCAAAGCCAATCCTAACCATCCCTTTGTGATATGGAAACTTGTGGTCTAATTTCAGAGAGATCCATACACCTTTCCACAAGTTATTGTCTGGAAACTAGAAAAATGCTTATTTGGGCCCCTTTTTGGCCCCTAATTCCTAAACTGTTAGGACTAACCCCCAAAATCAATCCCAACCTTCCTTTTGTGGTTATAAACCTTGTGTTTAAGTTTCATAGAATTCTATTTACATATACTAAAGTTATTATCCAGAAACCAAATGTCTTCGGACAACGCTGACGACGACGACGTGATACCAATATACGACTGCAAAATTTTTTGCGGTCGTATAAAAATCATTTGCCTTTTTTGAAATTCAGATATGGATACAGTAACTATCTAAAATTTATTGAAGACTTTTATAGTATCATTTATGTAGGAGCCAACACTTTTTCAACTTTTAATTGGTTGATGTTGATTGTTGTATGCTAATGACCAGTGCCAGTTTCATTTGTATATTGAGAACAGCTTCTATATGCTCCTTTTAATTGACATCCTGAATTTATGTGCAGTATTGTTTGTTTTGAACCAACCACAATATCTTGAATATTATCTGTTGAATTATTTAATAATGGTTGTCTTTTGGTTATGTTTTTTCCATTATTTATTTAGTCGTTTCTTTGACATTTTCATATTTGAACGGTTTGCCAGTGTCCATTTAGAACATACCGATACTTATAATATGGACCTTTATCCATCTATGAAGATCTGATATTATTGTACTTTCACAGCTGCTAATTTTGATGGTTACTTGTCTATCCACTGGCTTTCATACCACAACTCCTTATTCTTATTTTAAATTTTCTTATCATTATCCATAGCATCACAGTCTCTTTTTATCTTTAAAAAGAAATAATCAAGTCCAACTTTTTAAATTAAGAATAAGGAAAAGCCTTTTTTCTGAAGGATGAGAATTTGCTTACCAGTATGATAAAGGTTGACTAACTGTATTTGTTACTCAATATGCATTTTGTGATTTGCATTCTACATGACAAGTCCTCAACATAGTTATAAAATAGTAAATAAATAAAAGAAGAATGTGTCCGAGGACGCAAATGCCCTTGCTCAAGCTTTGTAATTTTCCAAGTAAAAAAGGGGCATAACTCTAGAACGATAAATGACTTACAACCCAAATTCAACTCCGTCTGCGTGTTGTTCATCTTAGCATTGTGTGTGAGTTTCATAAAATTTGGATGAAGAAAACTTGTTAGAGTGCCGAACCGAAAAAAAAATTGCAACTTTCCAAGTTATAAAGGGGCATTACTCTAGTATGGTAAGTGAATCACTTCCCAAATTCGAACTCTGTCTATTAGTTTTGGTTTTTTAGCATTGTGTATATGTTTTATAAAATTTGGAAAGAGGTATGGATGGAAGACAGTCATGGGTAACACCAGAAGTCCATTACTAGACAAAGTGTGCAACCTGTGCTATATAGCAAGGCGATCACAATGTCCCCTTTATCAGTGGAAAGCGCCATTGGTGGTCCCCTCAAATCTCGTTTTATAACTATGGAATCACAGGTAAAAATATTATCATCGAACAGATAGCTGTTAATTAGTCTCCTTGAGCGTTTGATTAATTATCAGTATGTTGTAAATAAAGTTAGCCGACTTAGTGCGGTTGATTCATATTGCCAGTTATTAAACTTCTTCATTTTAATTCAACATTTATAAAATTATATATAAAATTTTATAAACGAATTCATTGGTACCATTTTTCATCGCGCAAAGCAAAATGAGAATTTTAAAATCTGCCGTGTCGGATTAAAAATGTATCGTTTATTTAAAAGATATAGTTGTTTTTGCCAAAATAAAGTCATAATTGACTCTTTTTTTTTTAAATGAAAATTTGTGTTAACGAATAATGTCTCGGTTATTTTCGGCATCAAGGAAGCTATATGCGGTGATGTATAAGCTTCTACCGAAATGCAATAATATCTGACCATTTATTGCTTCAGATGACTTCGAAACAATTTCGAATTTTCGTATTTCAAAAATCTCGTTTTTTTTTAGCTTTTTTAGATTAAGAGACATACTTTTTTTTTGTCTGTCCTTCATTACGTTCGTCATCATAAGATGTATATGTGAGTCAGTGTTGCAACGCGCAATAGTCTTTTTTTTTTTTTTGCTGTTTTATACTCACAAGACTGAAGACATCTGTAGATCATGTGGATTTAAAAAATGATTGATCATGTGTTGCTAGCTCAACGTTCAGTGGCAAATATATTATGCATATCCCATCAAAGAGTTGTCGCAAGTGTTATTTAACATCAGAGATGGTAACATTCATCCTGAATACGCGAGGTACTGGATTTAAAGTAGCCTTGGATCCTTGCTAACTGCTCGACGAAGTATTAGATTGGATCAGGATGCCTGGCTAGATTGAAAGTCCCTCCTCCGACATGACGTGACTGCTATTAATATATACATCCCAAACTTGTAAAAAGGGTTCTACTGTTGAACCCGGACAATTCCAGTGATTACTTTATTTCTTCACGGCACAACTTAACCCTTCAGATTGACATATAAATTATATAGAAAAACCATTTATCTATTAGTGTATATAGGTACAGATGGCTGAAAATGTATAAAATCAGCGAAAATCGAGCGCAAACAAATTGTATGCGAATCTCCTGTTTTGAATGGACACTGCTTTCTGTCTCTATATTGCAAAAAAAAAAATTAAAAAAATAGTAAATAGCAAAATCAATAAAAAGCAAATGGAAATTAAGAAATATATGCATTATAGGGACCGAAGAATTCGATCTACTAACACTCCAGTGTTACTTGTACTGAATATGGATACACAATTTTCCGACCTAATTTTTCCTTGCCAACTTTTTAATGGCAGTTTTTTAAATATAAAACTAAACGTTTATTGTTCCAATAAGTGAGCTTTTTTTTTTTATTTCGTTTGACAATTTTTCTACAGTTATACTGGGACTATTATAATAGTCCCAGGGTTATAGTTTTCAAATTGATAAATTATACAAAAAATTTTATCGTTTAATATTGAAACCATCATAAGGACTCATGACACTGATATACTATGGCATCTATAGGATCTGTTATTCATTAACACGTCAATGGTCAAGTATTATTTTCAACTGTGTGCTAATTAAGTTATAGGGTGTTTTGCATAAATTATCTCTACCCAGAATGCATCACAAAAAAATTTGGCCATTGATTTTTGTTTCTATTAATAGCAATCTCGCTCAAATCCCGTTTCAATCACAGTTGGAAGTACAGGGACAACATGATCGCCTTACTATATAGCGGGTTGCACACTTCGTCTAGTAATGGACTTCTGTTAACACTTAATTTCCCTGTTGCCTATGGTGGGGGCAATAAAAGCTAAAATTACCAACTTCCAATGCCATTTACAGCAGTTATTTTAACACAGAATCCTTCATCAAGTATCATACAAACAACCGATATGAAAAGTTAACCAAGACCCAAACAATAGAAATCCTGACACTTGTTTTTATTAATTCTGTGTAATAAAAACAAGACATCACTATCTATTCACCTGACTCATGGTTAAATACCACCACATAAACAACTACAGAACCTAAGATTAAAGTCACATACATGTTTTATGAATACTTTTATTTTAATATGATGATAACAAATAACATTACAAAATGTACAAAATTTAAAAAGTTTTTTGTATCTTAGAAATTCTTATTTCTTTATTAATCTTTTAGGCTTCAATAAAATAAAACAAAAAAACTTGATATTCTTTAAACAATAGATCATGAAGTTAATAGAAATGTATCTTTAAGGAAGATATTATGTATTATAAACATAGCTTAATATAATACTGCAGAAACAATAATTTGGGGTTGGAATTTTTTTTTAAAGTTTTGTCTCTAAAAATAATTTTATGGGAACTAATTTTCGTGGTTTATGTGAAAGTAATATTCTTTGTAGGTAAAAATTTCATTCAGGTTTTAATTTTGTGGATAATGACTATCCATGAAATAAACTAAATTAAACCCTCAATGAAAATGCCTGCTCTTACAGTATATACATGTATATTTATATATATATATAAAACAATGAATGTAAGACACTACTGTGGTATCTTCAGACAAAAACATAAAAATAAACTGAATGTTTAACTGATTAAATTAAAACTTCTTTGTTGTGTTTCCTTTCATCTCATTTTACAGTATACATTGTAAAATTACTTGTCTGTGAACTGTTATTATTTTTGCACCTTCATTCCTATTTTTGGGTGTTAAGTTAAAATTACAAATCTGGTTTGACTCATGAACAATGAATGATTTTTTAAACTTTCATATTTAAGCTGTGTATAAAATATAAAATTGTTCACTTTTATAGGGCATGATAACAGTAGAATATGTCAGCGAACTGTAATCAATTCTTTAGTTGTCTTGGTTATCAGAGAAAATTTGTAAATTTGTTTATACACATGTAATTCTGTTTTTGTTTTACAAAAAATAATTCACTTAGTATTATACATGTTACAGCATGAAAAGATGTATCAACTGAAAACAAAACAATATTTGCCACTATCTTAAACATTCAATTTAAAGACAACATATATTTGATATAACAAAACAAAATATAAACCTATTTAAAAATTTAATTGGGAGAATACAGCTATCAAAAACAATAATTGAACCTTTCTTTATAACCATGGCTTTTCCTACTAAAACTGAAAAAAAAATTGTATTGGCAATTCTTGTCAAAAGGTGTCCCCTGTTTTACAGAAATTACAGCTTTACAATAGAGGTAGAATTAAAAAAAAAAGAGAGTTAGATTTGGTAAACAGGTTGGAAGAGAAGGGCATATAAAGAGGAACAACAGGATACATTGGTATTTTTTTCAAAAGCATTTTATTTTGTAGTTTGCAATTCAGATTGTGTCTTTCCCAGACAAAAAACTGTACTATTATTTCAAATGAAGAAAGATAGTTTTTAAATTATGTAAAAGACAAAAAATGTGTTTTTCCAGTAATAGTGTTCCCTAACAATCACAAAATTACATATAAATAATAAACAATACAAATAACATTACAAAAATAATTAAAAAAATACATACATTGAAAGGCAAAAATATGTAGTTTGCTGTGTAGCATATCAAGCTGAAGACAGATGTATCTAAGGCAGGACAGTACAAGACTTTGAAAAAAGGGGGGGTTGAAAGTTTAACAAACAAAAACAATATCAATATGTATGAATTGAAAAAAAAAAAAAAACGAAAAAAAAAAGCAAATTATTATTGTTCATTAAACACATATATACAAATCTTGTAGGATAAACTTTGAATTTGACAGTTAAAAATGAAAAAAATGAAATATATCCTTGGAAATGGAATAAAGGGTAAATACATGAAACAGGATTAGTACAAGTACTGGTCTTTACTAAAATTTTGGATTTTTCATCCTTTTTCTGTTTTTGATGAATTTCTGAGGTTTTGGTATGTATTCATTTTATACTGAGTTACAGATTGAATATGAATTTTACAGAATTACAGCTTTTGGATTTGAGTTTAGACTTATTTTTTGAGTCCTTTTTAAATTGTAACCTTATTATTGGGAGATAGTTTTAGTTGTAAAACCATACTGTACTAAAATGTTTTCTCATACTGATTATTTACAGATAGAATTATAAGTGTTGCTCAGGCTTAGTGATTTCCATTGAAAATTTTAAACAATCACTGAATTCCAGAATTAAATTCATGGGGCAAGGGAGGCACCTTTTTTTTTTTTAGACCCCAACCACCCATAATATAAATTTTAATTTAATTATTCAGTTTTACAAATTATGAAGAATAAATGCAACCACCCATAATTAATTAATTTGAGTGCCTCCCATGCCCCCACCACAATCCATTTTTGGAACGGCCCTCAAATAACATTTACAACAGCTGTAATGGTAAACAGTGATAAAATATTCTGTTCTAACATGGACAGAAAGAAATCTATAAAACATATCAAAGAGGCATACTTTTTATTTACTTTATCTTTGAATTCATGCTGTCATCCAATCAAACCAATATTTGAAAAACGTTTTCATGTTAATGAACGGACACTGTTTGGCAGCCGCCCGCCAGCCCACTGAACATCCCCAAATCAATAACCGATTTTTCCTTCGAAAATCCAGTTAAAAATGGTTCTCATTTAACTTTCACAAAGTTCTTAATAGTTATTCCAGTAGAGAATCACTGTATGTCTGCTGTTTACAATGTTATACGAGATGTGTCCCACAATTTTTTCATAATGATTTTCATAAAAAACAATTAATTTAATCATTTATAATGAGAAAATTTACCATTACTGTACAATTTTAACTCTGAAAAAATCTTACCACTTGTTAAACTGGTGGAGATGTTCAAAACATATAACCACAGATGAACAAAATTATGCTGACCGTATTAACAAATCTCACAGAACACTATTCTCAAATTCTATGGACTTCGATTCATCATGGATTCTCCTCTATCCAATTATCAAATATGAATTTAAATAAATGTATGAAACAGTATATAATGTAGCTTTTGCAATGAAGTTTGTATACATTATAACAAGAAAACAAATAACAAATTGTCTACTTCATATCTACTGTGTGATGCAATATTCTACAACAGTGTCAATTCCATTGAAGTTTCCATAACAATTCTCACTGACGGCACTTCTCTTCTCAATCAAACCTGCAATGATATTCATTTACCTTTCAAGTATTATGCTATATGAATGTTTTGTTTTAAGTTAGTGAAAACAATAGATTGAGTATGACTGACAGGTCGAGGAGGTTTATCTATAGAAGTTTGATAAGAAACTAAGAATACTATGGTGTATAGTTTTGTCATTCCTGTTCTGCTAGCCATGTTTATCTTTTTCTGCATTTTCATTTTCTCTCTGTGACTTACTTTGACTTAATCAATGAGATCAAGAAGTATTTCCCTATTAATAACATGGAATGATTGTAACAGGATGCTGTTACAAAGTAGCCCAAGCAAAGTCCCTACAAGTATAAACCACATGGGACTCCCACTATTATTCACCTAATTCATCATGCTGAAAATATATGGGTTAGGGGTGGGGATCTCAACCATTTTCAAAATATTTTAACATTCTCATATGTGGGGGGGGGGGGGGTGTCCCCTGGGTACTTCTTTTATATATCGCTTAATGTATGTTTCATGTCAAACCAGAAAATATATGGTTTAGGGTTGGGGACCTTGACCACTTACAAGATATTTCAACATTCTCAAGTGACAGGGGATGGGAATGACCCCTGGGACTAACTCTATATAATTATTCAAATCATCTTGACAAGACAAACAGGAATATATATGATTTAGGGGTGGGAATCCTGATATCGTACAACAATATTTAAACATTCTCAAATGACAGGGGCTTGGGATGACCCTGGAGACTAACCCTGTAAATCATTTTGACGTGACAAACAGGAATATATGTGGTTTAGGAGTGGGGATCTCAACATTTTTACAAGATATTAGAACATTATCAAATGGCAGGGATGGGGTGACCCTTTGGGACTAACCCTATATTTCATTTAATTTGTTTAATCATGAGGAACATTTTCAAATCTTAAAATTCTCCAATTTGTTTAAAATTTTAGTGTTAATTGAAAAATAATATTCAAGGTCATAAGTGACCATCACCTTTTAACCTTGAAAAAGGCCATACGATCCCATGATCATTACTGAATACCCCATGTGAATGTAACTCTTACTTACTGTTCTCAAGTGATAATCATTTAAACATAAGTTTTTTTGAAATCCCATACGGTTCTAAGCAAACCTCTCCCATTATTAAACCCCAATGCACAAACAAAACCCTGATTGCACCACTAGACATGTTAGTCTAACATATTTTGGAACCCTGAGTGAATCTGGTTTAGAGAATTGCTGCAGACATGTTCAAGTTTGAAAAAGCAGTGGACGAAAAAGAGGAATAACTGAGAAAAAACATTAAATCTTCCAAACTTTGTTTAGGAGACTTTATTAATACTTAAGATAAGGATTTTTGAGAGGTTCCTTTTCCAGGAAGTTTCTACTTCACAGAATTAAATAAGTTGATTCCTCCCTTCTAAGTATCATACAATTTGAAAAAATTTCAAGGAAGTGAAAAGATTTTATTTCCATTTAGATTTTTAAAATTCAGGACTATATCTTATTTTTTTCAAGTGCAAATTACATTTCATATTAAAATTATTTCAGTTATAGAAAGGGAAGGAGAGGTCTAAACTTCTATATAAAATATTTAAAGGTAAACTATGTACATGTGCTTATGACATTGGGTTGAAACCTACTGCTCATTTTCATGCCGCCCACCTGGAACAAACTCTGTAAATTTTTAAGGTTGACCCCCTATATAATAATTACCATCTCCAACTTTCTTTTCCAGCCAGAAAGTACGGTAGTTGCTGCATTCTTTTTCAATGTAGATCCCAAATCTGGAGAGATCTTTCAGAGGTCCTTCAGCTACTCTATATTTCCTTTTTAGTACTGATGCCTTGGGCATGTAGTAGCCAGTCTGTAAAAATTGTATGCAATAAAGTCAAACAGATAATTAATGTATTATGAGTCAATCATAAACTCTATGAAACTCACAAGGACTGAACATACTTTACCATGCATTAGATATTTTAAAGGATGCAATCAATTCATTCAAACTTTCAAATTCACATACTATAAACTGTTGACACAGAGACACAGAGATATGTCTCGCCTAGTGTAATGAGAATGTTGATATTTTAATTGCAATAGTTTAACATGTAATCAGATCAAAACATTCAAAGTCAATGAACCATAACTGAAGGTGGAGGTTTAAATAATCTCTGTGAAAATGAGAAATGCCAATGCTACATGTGCTAGAACAACTGCATATCAAATAGCGTTGACTTATCAAAAGTGATTCTCTTTGAAATGACATGTACACCAACTTTAACATGTAACCTAAATGCAAAAGTTTCAAAGTCAACAGACCATGACTGAGAGAGTGGGAACAAAAATGAAAATCATTAATATCGAGCTTCCATTTTGTCATCAGTAAGAATTGGTTGAACTGTAAATTTCTGCAAGGAAACAACACAATGTGCAAATTTCCAATCAATCAAGGACCCTTACTCCTGCATTGCAAAAGAAAACAGTGATAATCGTCATCAGTAACAACATATTAAAATTTGAAAAGCATTGGTTGAACAGTTCAGAAGTTATTTGCACAAAAACAATTGGAGCCACCCACCTGCCGTACAACCCTTAATCAATAACCAGATTTCCATTGGAAAACTCAGTTAAGAATTATCTAAGTATGATATAATTATCAGCTTTACAATGCTCTACCATCTCATATACACAAGACATTTTTATGAAAAGAAATATATTTTGCCAAATTCTATATATATCCGTGATTACCAAAAAACCTTTTTTTGATTCACTAATGACCAATCTTTCTCAAGCCCAAATACATAGAAACATCATATCCAACTTTATGATTATATAAAAGGAAACTAATAATTATAATGACAAAAGTAAATGTCCTGAAAAATCAATAAACACTCTTCACTTTTCATATTTCATACCGGTAATCTGGCATTCATATAATATCATGATCATTCTAATGAATGAGTATACGTATGAGGTCAAATGAACTTCAAAACTGAAAATAACCAATTCAACATCAAACAACAACTTCATCTATTTGGTCTGTCACTTCCTTGTTAGTACATATATATAACTACTGTCACAAAGAACATCTTTGGAAATCCCATGGTTATTATCAGTAATTGCTTCATACATCACATGTTTGATATTATTATATAAACATGACTAAATGAAATGAATAAGGAAATCAATAAGGAGTGCAACACACATTTCTGTGTTAATTTATCAAGTGCAATTAACAACAAAATAAAATAAAAAATACTAACAGAATTGCAGACATATTGTTGGTGTTTTCCTACTAAACAATTCATGAATTTAAAAAGGTTGCAGATGATAAGAAAAGGAATGCACATGCTGAAATGTCTCACCTGCTTTACTATTCATGATTTATTTTATGTTGATAGTCCTCAAGATATAATTTTACTACAAGTATTACATAATCTTAACATTATTGATGATCCATGAAAATAAGGTCAAGGTCAGATAAATCAAGCCAGACATACAAGTACACCTTACAATCACTACATACAACAAATATAGTTGACCTTTTGCTTATAATAGTATACAAAACAGACCAAACCATGAAACCTAAATATTGACCAATGAACCATGAAAATAAGGTCAAGGTCAGATGAACCCTGCCCGACAGACATGTACACCTTACATAATTCCATACATCAAATATAGTTGACCTTATTGCCTATAGAATCTGAGAAACAAACTTCACCAGGAAAACTTAACAATGACCAATGAACAATGAAAATGAGATCAAGGTCAGATGAACCCTGCCAGACAGACATGTACACCTTACAATCTTTCACTACACCAAATATAGGTGACATGTTGCTTATAGTATCTTAGAAAATAACCTTACTACTGAAACTAAACATTGACCAATGAAACATGAAAATGAGGTAAAGGACAGATACAACCTGCCAGACAGATACATGTACACCTTACCATCATTCCATACTCCAAATATTGTATAAGAAAAACAGACCAAAAACTCATAAACTTAACATTGACCAATGAACTATTGAAATGAGGTCAAAGAAAGATCTATTTATAGTATTAGAAACACAGACCATAACACAATAAACAGCTGCGCCATGAGCGCATGATACGCCCATCACATTTTCAAAGAATAAAGTTCAATCACTTCTCAATGTCATATCAGAAATTTATAAAAATCAAAAGGAAGCTTTTGTCAATAGATTTAAACAATTCACCAAAGTTTCATCAGAACTGCTGAAAGCATTTTTGAGGTATTGTCTGAAAACTGGAAAATCCCCCCTTTTTTAATGAATAAAACACCATAACTCGGAAACGTAAAATCTAAAATTTATAAAATTAGAAAGGGAGCTTACATCAATAGATATAAACAATTCACCAAAGTTTCATGAGAACTGCTAAACGCATTTTGGAGTTATTGTCCGAAAACTGTAAACTGCCCCTTTTTTTAATGAATAATACCCCATAACTCAGAAACATAAAATCTAAAATTTATAAAAATGGAAAGGGAGCACATGTCAATAGATATAAACAATTTACCAAAAGTTCTTGCAAATGGGTGAAAGCGTTTTTGAGTTAATGTCCGACATGTTGACGACGGACGGACAGTACGACAGATGGACGGACAGAGGTACAATATATACCATAATATGTCCTGTAAACGGGCGTATAAAAATTTAACATTGACCAATGAACTGTGAAAATGAGGTCATGGACTGATGAAACCTGCCAGACTGACATTTATACCTTATAATCATTCCACACCAAATATAGTTGACATATTGCCTACAATATCTGAGAAAAGGACCTAATCATGTAACTTTAACCTTGATCCAGCTTCCTTGTTCAGTGATCCATGAAATGAGGTCGAGGTCAGGTGAACCCTGTCTGACCAACACAAAGACCTTGCAAGGAACCCATATACCAAAAATAGTTATCCTATTATTCATAATAAGTGAGAAATTAACACAAGAAAAAACTAAACTTTTTTTCAACCCATCACTGAACCATGAAAATGAGGTCAAGGACAACAGACATATTATGACAGACAGAAGCTTCGTAACATACGGCATCCATATACAAACTATGAAGCCTCCAGGTCTACTACCCTCTGAAATATAAAACTTTATACAAATAGTTTATGCAGCCACCGCTACGTCTCGCATTCTGCCACTTTTATCGCAGGAGAGACAAAAACTGTTGACTCAGAGATATGTCTTACCTGTGTGTAATATTGATAGAACAATACAAATGTTCCTATTACAATGGAAACATATTATGAATGTTTTCTTGTCATGTCTGATATATTACTTTATTATTTGATCTAATCACACAAACTATGTCCTGTAAACTATGCAAAAATATCAAAGTAAATGGACTATGACTGATGGGTTGGGGCTGAATTATCTCAATGGAAATGAGATTTGTGAATCCTTACACATCAGTCAGGATGATTTAATAAGACAGGCTGTCCATTTGATCACTTGGGTCCCAAACATATGTGTTAATGTAAACTGAGCTGTTTAATTGGGTTTAAGAATCAAGAAATGTATCAAAAGAAAGAAATCAAACCGCAAACTAATGTATCAAATGTTAGAGAGTATTAATATGTTTCTTTAGCAGTACTCAAGATATCTTTTGATGTTATGTGTGTATAGACTAATCTTAAGATGTTTTTTGTGTTACACTGGTTGACCTAAATGACTACATTGCCCAATTGCTTCTTACTGTTTTTACCATTTATTTTGTATTTAAAACTGACCAACTTCCCTACCTATACTTCATCATGTTCATAGTTTTCTCAATTTTTTTCTTCGAATATCTTCTGTAAACCGACATTTCCCAAAGGAGTCAAAAGGCTGATACTAAAAACTGATTGGTGGTTAATGCCAACATTATTCTAACTAGCAAATATACATACTGCAAACTTTCTGATCAAGTCGAACCAATCTCTTGGTGGTGTGATTTTGTCTCTATTCAGCCTCATAACATAGCATACTCCTTCATCAAAGTCAACAATTCCAGAGTAGTTCTGAAAGTAATAAACAAACACTACATCATTTACGTCTATTTATGATATGTACTAGCATAACTAGAAAGATATTAAAAGCTTGGGTCACTGAAAATATTAAGACACATTATGATGAAGTAATCACCAGGTTTTCCTTAAAAGGATATGTATATTATTCAATCCAACCTGCCTAACATCACAGCATATATTTTTGAAGTTTCAATGAAAACGTTGAAGATAGGGTTATGTATTGCAAATGAAATTCCAAATTTTTGCAAATTTATCCAAATTACTACAAACATGGAAAAACGGATTGCTACGCTATAGCAAAATTCCCCCCACCAGTTGACCACTGTATTATTTTTTAGAAAGACAATTGTGTGTACAGTATAGAGTTTTACAACAGGGCATAGATTACATTATAAACTGTATTTCAGGCTTTTGTGTTTGTCTGGATTTCTATTAATTAAAAGAAATGTGGGAATGAAGAACAAATTATAAGAGATTCACAAGTAGTCATTGTTCAATAGGCCAAATATGGTGTCATTGTGATACAATAGTTAAATAAAAAAGGTAAAGTCCTATGAAAATGGTTGAATCAAATTGATGGTACAATATTGTCAACTACAAATGATAGACATGATAGACAACAATCCAAACAAGTCTGAGAGCTTTTTGGTTAAAAGGTCTCATAAGTGTTGCATTCACATGGCTTCATTGTGGTACAAAGGTCATAGAACTCATCACTAACTTTTGAAGTAAGGCATATGAAAATAATGGAATTAATTATTTTTGGAGTATAAAAAATTCTTTGAGTGTTCTAGATGAATTACATACAAAGTTAAGACTTTCTACACAACACTTCCACGCAATCTTATCAAACAAGTTTTCCTATTTAAAATCTGAGAGCAAATTTATTTGCTGTAAATCATATAAGGCCTTCTACTGTCATGACTGTAATGAAAAAGGTATATTTGCAAGATATACTCGCTTAAAGTATGATGAGTGTTCTCTTGAGAAAAAAAATACCCTGCCTTTTTGAACAGCTGCAGGAAACACAACATTGGCAATGATACCACATCTTATTTTTATATTTACCTTAAAAAATCCAGTTAAGTGGATACTCATTATGAATGATTTCATGTGATATACAAAAAAAATTTCATTTTTGAGAGGAATGTGAGGAATACATCTAATATTCATCCCCCAAAAAATTGTGTTACATTGAAATCAAGACATATATTCTGGTGAATAAAAATAGGACCAGTTCCTTTCAGATATGGTGTGTTTAGATCAGGTTAATCACCATCTTGTAAAGAATGTTCTGTATACATGGTAAATGATGGGCTGGTATAGTATACACTGTATTTCTAAGTCATTTGGTCTCTGGTGGACATCAATGGACATTGGCAATCATACCACATCTTCTTATTTTTAAATAGAATGGTTTTGGATAATATAGGTTTCACTGTATATCAAAATAATTTACCAATGTATAAAGTTTACAGAGTGTACAATAACTTTTATGTGTCTTACTAGACACACAAGAATGATGTTATTTTTATGTGCGACTTATCTCTAGTCACTTTCCACTTAAAAATACTTGTAACTCATAATGAAACCTTCCTTCCTGGTAATTTTTCTTAAACATGTATCCTGTAGATACCGAGAATAAGTTATAAATACAATTTTTGTTTATGTAAAATCAGTTCTGTACTATTTACTGTACATTATATTACTGAATGTTTCTCAGTAATGGTTATAAAGGGTCAAAGAAGTATGCTTGATATTATATGTATAGTACATGTTTAACAACGACCATAACCATCAGGTCTTCTTTTGAGTTAAAAGAAAAATTTCTGGAATGCTTAATAAAACAGATTGCCTTGCTACAATTGTATAAATGAAACCTTTGCAAAAAAATTGGATGAAAAAATTTATTCAAACTAAAAGAAAAATAACAAGGATATCTGTGTCCATTGACATTTGCAATAGAATATCTAACCAAGACAGTCACATCAAGCTGAACTGTAATAACTGTGACCACAGAAACTTAAAATTAGAATAAGACCTACTGCATTTTAACGCAAGTTATCGTAATCAATGGTTAACATCTTGGTGTTTTCACTGAGCAATCTTTCGACTGACATCAGATTTTATCTTGAAAAAACCTCCAGGTACTTAGACTGTGATTCATTAACCAAATGCCCATGATGACTGAAAATCAGAATTTGACAAAATTTCTAGATTACTATGAGCTAGTAACTCTCTCTTAAAAAAACTTGAAACTGACCCCTTCTTCGTTTTCACTTGCCTCGACCAACATCAAGACTGAAGTATCATCAAAATATTCCAGAAGAATATGTGTCTAATGTTAGAAGAGTATCACTAGTATGACTTCTCAATACAATTAAATTTTGATTGTGTATCAATCAATACTATTATCATGTGAAAATTAATTAAACAAACCGTTTTGACAGGTAATAACTGTGTAATTAAGAGTATTGGGACTATACATAATAAGACTGGAATTTGGAATACAGAAGGTCTGGTTTACAGGGGGTATTTTTACAAAGACTTTGAAGGGGAAAATGGGACCTCAATTTTCAGCAAAAATGGACAGGAAACCGGTTTATTCAGGGTCTGGTTTACCCAGGGTCCAGTTTACCCAGGTTTGACTGCACAGAAAAAATTTTATGAGTTACATTGCATAAATAAATATCAGCTAAAACTGCAGAACAGACTACCGTTAAATTCGTTACCGGTAAATAAGCTGCAGGTTTTTTCTCTGTCTTTGTCCCCGTGTGTTATACTCAGGTGCGCTTTATGTATTTTTCAGAGCAAGCGTAAAAAAAAACATATCTGGATTTTTTTATGGAGACCGTCAGAAGATTGTTAAGTGCTTGCAGTGGCTTGATAAATTGTTCATGTAGTAAAGCTTCAGGAATATCAAGCCCCTCTCAATTCCTACAAGAACTATAGAAGATTTAAATCTCATATAAAATTTGTGATGAACATTCATTTTGATATTTTGTATGGAGGTTATTCTATCCAATAATACCAATACTCCAGACTAGAGATATGTTTTCTAATCTTAATTACAATAACAAATATATACCACCTCATAGGATAATAAACAGCTGCGCCATGAGCGCATGATACGCCCATCGCTTTTTCAAAGAATAAAGTTCCATAACTCAATGCCAAATCAGAAATTTATAAAAAAAACTAAAGGGAGGTTATTTTAATAATCACCAAAGTTTCATGAAAACTGCTCAAAGCACTTTTCTGTTATTGTACGAAAACTGGAAAATCCCCCCTTTTTTTATGAATAAAATCCCATCACTCGGAAAGATAAAATCTAAAATTTATAAAAATCGAAAGGGAGCTTAAGTCAATAGATATAAACAATTCACCAAAGTTTCATGCAAATTGATTAAAGCGTTTTTAAGTTATTGTCCGACATGTTGACAACGGACGGACAATGGTATACCATAATACGTCACGTAAACAGGCGTATAATAAAAACTGAATAAGTCACCATTCTGATTGGTTTTTTTTTTATCATCTCTGTATTCTAACTGTATTTCACAGTTTCCAGATGTTATGATATTAAAATGATAGTGACATTATTCATGTAAAAATAAATCAATAATTTTTTTTTGCAGTTTTCATGAAGCCAGGTATTATCTAAATTATGTAAATGTCAGTCTTAATCATGATTATTCAGCTTATTTTCGTCAAATGTCAATTTGTGTAGTTCTAAAAATAACTACAACATTGAAAACAAAATGGCAATTCTTTGCAAACTGTTATTTATCATAAACATCTCAGGGATTGACCAGCTTTCACTTAGAATAAATATGTATACCTAGAGAAAAGATAGTGAAAATTCATTGGCATCTTTGATATATTTTATAATACTATGTATAATTTAAGGAAAAAGCTGGCAAATACAAAAGAAAAATATCTGTATGAGATCCTTGTTTCGAAAGAAGTTATCTTGGTATATTTATATTTTTATGACTTTGGGGAAAACATCTATGGTTTTTTTCTTATTTGGAAGTGGTTTTACATTTTGACCTGAGAGTATTCTGGCTTAAAACACTAAGATTTCAAGCACCACTCTAAATGTTCTCAACACCATTCTAAGAATATGTATATTGATAAGTATTACAAATAGGTTCAATTCAAAGGTAAAATTAATATTGATTATTTTATAAGCACCACCCTGGAAAATTTATCTGTGGTACAAAAAAATGTATAATCCCTGAAAAAACATATGCATTTTAGGTATCTGTGAATATGTCTATAATAATTAGAGAGTAGTCAGAACTTACCCTTGTGAAATCATGGAGCACTAGAGTCTCCTTAAAGATTCCAAACTTTGGCATGTGAATTCTTTCATAACTATTGTCCTCAACTTCCACATCTTGCTGAACTCTGAAAGGTTTCGTAGGGTTCATCTTCAAACGATTAAAATTCATGTGGACATGCTTCATATGAGATTTTTCCTTTCCAACATGGTCCTTGTGAAATGGTTCCATCATTTTCTGTTGCTCTGGTAAATAGTGTGGTTCAGTAGGTTCAAACGTTACTGAACCTTTGTAATGCTGAAAGTCATATCAAATATGTATATTTATAAACATGAATACAAATATTGAATTAAATCTAAGTGTGGGAGTGCTTAAAAGGCAGTTTCTGTCTCTTCAATGTTACTTCTAGTTTTCTTTTCTCATGTAATGGAATCACACCTGACAAGAGACTTTATTGAAGTTTTCTATTCTCATGTAATGGAATCACACCTGACAAGAGACTTTATTGTGGTTTTCTATTCTCATGTAATGGTATCACACCTGACTAGAGACTTTATTGAAGTTTTCTATTCTCATGTAATGGAATCACCTGACAAGAGACTTTATTGAAGTTTTCTATTCTCATGTAATTGAATAACACCTGACAAGACTTTATTGTAGTTTTCTATTCTCATGTAATGGAATCACCTGACAAGACTTTATTGAAGTTTTCTATTCTCATGTAATTGAATAACACCTGACAAGACTTTATTGTAGTTTTCTATTCTCATGTAATGGAATCACACCTGACAAAAGACTTTATTGAAGTTTTCTATTCTCATGTAATGGAATCACACCTGACATGAGACTTTATTGAAGTTTTCTATTCTCATGTAATGGAATCACACCTGACAAGAGACTTTATTGAAGTTTTCTATTCTCATGTAATGGAATCACACCTGACATGAGACTTTATTGAAGTTTTCTATTCTCATGTAATGGAATCACACCTGACAAGAGACTTTATTGTAGTTTTCTATTCTCATGTAATGGAATCACACCTGACAAGAGACTTTATTGTAGTTTTCTATTCTCATGTAATGGAATCACACCTGACAAGAGACTTTATTGAAGTTTTCTATTCTCATGTAATGGAATCACCTGACAAGACTTTATTGTAGTTTTCTATTCTCATGTAATGGAATCACACCTGACAAGAGACTTTATTGTAATTTTCTATTCTCATGTAATGGAATCACACCTGACAAGAGACTTTATTGAAGTTTTCTATTCTCATGTAATGGAATCACACCTGACATGAGACTTTATTGAAGTTTTCTATTCTCATGTAATGGAATCACACCTGACAAGAGACTTTATTGAAGTTTTCTATTCTCATGTAATGGAATCACACCTGACATGAGACTTTATTGAAGTTTTCTATTCTCATGTAATGGAATCACACCTGACAAGAGACTTTATTGTAGTTTTCTATTCTCATGTAATGGAATAACACCTGACAAGAGACTTTATTGAAGTTTTCTATTCTCATGTAATGGAATCACACCTGACAAGAGACTTTATTGCAGTTTTCTATTCTCATGTAATGAAATCACACCTGACAAGAGACTTTATTGAAGTTTTCTATTCTGATGCAATAGAATCACACCTGACAAGAGACTTTATTGTAGTTTTCTATTATCATGTAATGGAATTAATCACACCTGACAAGAGACTTTATTGAAGTTTTCTTTTCTTATGTAATGGAATCACACCTTGCAAGAGACTTTATTGATCAAATTCACACAATTTACTTCCTCATTTAAATTTTTTTTTGAAATGAAAACTTTTAATTCAATGACTTCCTTTTTTATTTACACCCAACCCCCTTTTCAGAATCATGAATCCACATCTGTGCATTAAATGTCAAAAATTATCCAATAGCCCTCTGACAACTTTGTTGTGGCAAACTAAATATACAACATGTACAAGATACAAGGAATAATGACTTCATCATACAGTACAAGAACATTCCACAACAATGCTTTAACGAACATGACAAAGTTGTCTGATTTTTCAAAAGTTATAACTTACCTTCTTAGACAGGTGTTTGTACAGATAGACGCCAGACACAATACCAGCAGCTAAAACTAACAAAGCTAGTAAAATCAGAAAAAAATTGAAACAGCATCTCCTTTTCTGTTGTACATGAAAATGTGTTACATGGACCTCTGGTGCATGTGCTGGCTCTCCTCCTTCTTCCTACAATTTAAAAGAAAAGTTTGTTTAACTGTCTTCAACTTTCATTTTAAATATTCAATAATAAATCAAAAACTCAAGGTTCAAATTAGCCTGTTTCACTAAAGTGCACAACATTATCTAGTCAGTCACCCAAATTAAAAGTACAGATCTTGAGAAATTAAGAGAATCCAAAAATAGAAATAGAGCAACATACATTTTAAAACACCATATATATATTCATAACATGTTTTCGGAGTGCATAGAAATGGGTCAAAAAGTCATTTAAACATGTTAAATAATCCATCAGCAGTTTACAAAATAAAATGGTTTATGTTGTGTGACTTATTTGTATACATATTTGTATCTAGCCTAGTTTTCAAGAATTTTCACACTATTGGACTTTCCATGGCCAAAAATGACTAGTCACAGGATTTGCCTTCAAAAACCCTTCAACAGTGAGAATTCTGAAACCCTAAAATTGGTAATAACTCATCAATTAACATGATTAACATGATTAAGGTCATTGGTGAAGAAACATATATATGTGGAACTTGATAGTAGGGCACAAAACTGTGGTTCAAGTAGATACGATATACATTCATGAGTTTTTTTTATCAAAATGATCAACTTGACAAAATTATCTGAAAACGCCACCCATATGCATGTTGTGGCAAAACCAGTCAACCTGAATAAATCTCCCATCTAGTGGTAACTTTTAAGCTGTTTTTATTTTCCTGGAATACTTTACAGGGTTATCACTAGGATAGTTTTAGGGTGAGTCTTTGGGACTCGTATCTATTTTAAGTGGTGATCCCATGAGTCTAAGCTGATTCTGACAAGGCCAGTAGTACAGTTACTCAAGTAGTTTGTTTTTTGGTTTTTTACTTCATAGCTTTTTCAAGTTTCACAAAGTTTTCAAAATTTTCTCTGCTTAAGATCATAAATTGTTTACAACATCCATGACATCCGGTCCATTGCAAATGAATAAATTAGAAGTGAAAAAGACAACATTGAGCATGTTGAGAAATGCTACATTTTGAAACTGCAAAACCATTAATATTCATGATATAATTTTTCCATCTTTCAAATGGCTATTTTTATCATATACTTAGAGTAAATAACTTAAAATTTTTACAGTATGATAATAGCATTAAATTTACTTGAATTCCATATTTTCAGAAATGGTGCTTAGCGGGCTGATATGAAAAATTTATCAACTGCTGCCGGCTATTACCGCATGCCTTTCTGTAATGTTATCGCATAGCATTCCATCATTACTTGGCAAATTCCAGAAAAAAACATATCAATGGTACATATCATATATGACACTACCCAAATTCAACTTGATCTGTGTTTTATCAGTTGAAGCCAAAATTAAACATTGCATTGTATAAAGCATTGATTGTAGTTGATTCAACTATAATTATGGACAAAGAAAGATAACTCCAATTTTAAAAATAACTTGATATTTGGAAGAAAATAAAAATTTTGCAATTTTTCCATTTATAAAGGGGCATAACTCTAGAACGGTTAACGTGACGCCACCAAAATTCAAACTTGATCTGTGTTTTGTGGTAATAAGCATTGTGTATAAGTTTCATGACATTTGGATGAGGCAAAACTTAAGTCAGAGAATGGAAACTAAATATTTTGCAATTTTTCCATTTAAAAAGGGGCACAACTCTAGAATGGTTAAAGTGACGCCACCAAAATTCAAACTTGATCTGTGTTTTGTGGTAATAAGCATTGTGTATAAGTTTCATAACATTTGGTTTAGGCAAACTCAAAGTTAGTCTTGCCTCCGATTGTATTTAAAATGTTCTGTTATGATAAACATGTATATAATCATGATATACCTATAAGCTGTATTGCTTCTGGTTTGAAATAAACTAAACTATATAACTTAAATATATCTAGGTCCAGCCATGTCTTAAAACTTTCCTAGATGTATCGGTTAGTCTATACCAAGTATCCTGAATTTTTTTCACACAATTTCGGTCATTTTTAGATGATTGAAAAGTTGGTGCCCCTTTTCTAATAATTTTGTCGTCATCAATGTCGATGTCAAACTAGATTCATAGCATCAACCAACTTAAATTGCTGTTTCATCGCATTTACTACAAGTAAATTTCTTACCATTTTTCTAAAAACCTTCAAGAACAGTTTAGGGAATGCAACAGTTTAAAATAGAAATGATTTTAATGACTCAAAATAGTCAATTTCTCAGACATTGCTACCGTTTCTTTCGATTTGACAATTTTAAAACTGGAAGTTTACGTTAATTAATATATATGTACGGAAAAATTCCAGATTCATTTCCGGGATTCGTTTTGATTATCAATTGACAGGAAATCACCGGCTTTTTAATTTTATTACCTGTAAAAGTGTTTGAATATAACAGTTAATAGTCATGATAGTTGCATTCGTTTACTTTAGCATGAAATCAATTTGCATTTTACGATTAAATATTTAATTTGCTGAAGACAACTTCACGCATGCATATTACATAGTAAATAAAGCACATGTGTTACTCGTGAAAAAAATACTTTTTTCTACTTAGATAAAATTAAGTTTAATTTTAAATCAGAATTGATGATTGTCTTTGCTGAAAAGTAATTTAATAATGAATACACTTGTCAGGGAATTTTAATTTCTTTAAGATATTATTCTGAGCTTGTGGTCAATGTCAGGTGTGAATTAAAAACTCAGGTAAAAAGTAATTAGTGATCATTAGCCAATGTTTCTCGGAGGCATTGATATAGTTACAAATGTATTAGGAGGGCCATCAGGATTATCAAACTATACTGGAGTGGCAGTTTTATTACAGGAAAGGGATTATAAACAAAAACAAGTGATCACAAGTGCAAAACGGCGATTAACAAATCCGATTTCAAACACTGAGTCAATGAAATGACCGAAATTATTTTTGTTAAAAAATGAAATTTGTCCTAACTCTCAATTACTCATTTAGGACAAATACTTTCAGTTTAGGACATGACTGGCAAATATGACCGTAGGCGTTTCCGGAACCTTGGTCTATACTCAGAGTAGATTTTGTGGTGTAAACACAGCTATATTTTTCAATAGACCTTATCGTTATTTGGGGATCTGCTACACTTGAACTATTGACGTCATACAACAATCACTTTTCCTTTGTGGCATCAGACATTTTCTCTTGTGACATCAAAATTTATGGGAACTTCTGTGCACTAATGGCAGACAAATAGCGATAAGGTGTAATCCTTTTGATGAACCTTAAGGTTCTGCTAATTGAAAAACATCATCTTGAAAGAACCTGATTGATAGATTAACAATATTTTATCAAAAACCTGGTGCAAATTTTATATGTACATTGTAGGTGACTGTATACAAAATCTCATGACTGTAAACAAATTCAGAAAGTGAAAGTACAGAAATATTACAATCACTAATCAGTGAACTTAATAAAAAAAAAAAAATAAAATTTCAGACTTATTATACTAAACAATACATTTAAAAATTGGTCGAATTTAAATAGGTAGCTTTTAAGTATCATATTTCAAAATGATTTTTGAAACTTTTGAGTAATGGCTGACAGGTTTATTTTGTAAACAAAATTTGCTGAAAAATTTCCTCCCAACAGTTGACAATCAAAATTTTTTACATCTTACCAAAGACTCCTGTAGCAGCTTCTTCTCAAGAATGGTTTTATCTGGTTTATGTGATGAACCTTTGATGATTGTCATCTTGAATGTAATAAAATGTGTTTCTGCAACAAAGTTTTTGTCTGATTATGTAGCTCCTTGGATTTCCTTGTTGACCTTTCAAACTTCCGCATCTGCGTGTTTCTGAATATTATTTTTAACAGAAATAGTTGTCTCCCCTAAAATTGTATAACAGCTGATCGTGTGTTGTGCTTCCTAAGGTTCTGCTGCTGCTGTCTACTAAAAGAATTTCATTGTCAATGTTATGTGAATTCATTACTTGTTATAAATACACCGGTACATGGCCCTACACTTGTCAAAGCGCCTTAATTGACTGATTAAAGTTTACCCGCCAAATTTGGATTGCGTAACCCCTCATTTTTACAAACTAATGATGAAACTAAATACTAAACCCGCCAAATGGGGAACTGTTCCCCATGTGAGTAACAATCCCTCATTTGATAGTGCTAAAAGCAAAATTTTCTTAACTGAGATTTTTTACTTAAAATGGCATACATTCACAGGGGTTAAAAAAATTTGTTACAGCTCACTACTGACACTAGCCCAGGACTTATGGTAAACGGACAGAAAGTCACAGGACAAAAAGTCACAGGACATAAAGTCACAAATTTGATAGGACAAAAAGTCACAAATAATTTGTTGACAATTATTTGAATATATAAGAGAAAGATATTGAAATATTTTCTTTTTATTTCATATATTAATTTTTAAGTTTAGGACATTGTTCATAAGCCTTGAAAAATTAAAATTTATTAAATTTTAATCATGAAAAGGATATATTTCTTGGCACAATGAAGCCATTTAAGTACGAAGCCACTTTGACATTTTGTTTTCATAACAATTATTTGATCCTTATTGATATTTATTGAATACATTTTAATTACAAAGTTGCTTCATATATAATAGTCCAAGAAAAAAACAAAAAAATATTTTTAAAATTAGTGTTTTCTTGTTTAAAGAAAAATAATCCCAAAACTGAATTGTGACTTTTTGTCCTGTGACTTTTTGTCCGTGACTTTTTGTCTGTGACTTTTTGTCCTGTGACTTTCTATCCTACATTTGGACTTATTGGTAGCCGGATTTTACTAGTCCTGTTGGAAGAACTGCTAGCCCAGCAAAACAGACCTACTAGCTTCTAAAAAATATTTGAGCCAGCTAGACATATTTTCTTCATTCCTATTTCAATCCCGTAATACTAAGCAACAAAAGGCAATAAATTATGACATGGTAATAATTTGAGCATCATAACAATGATTGACATTATTGACGGTTATTTAATTTCTTCTACTTGAAATGAACGCAAAATAAAAATATCAATGATATTTTTAGCATTTTTGAAAATTTGGATGCATAATTAAATCTCACACACGTGCACATGTGTACTAATCAACAACGTGGTTCTGTTGTTTTTTTACTAAAACTTATTTTAAATACCTTTTTAAATTTATCATAAAATCATTTTTACTAAATTAATTAGATGCGAACAGGTTATATCAATCAATGCATCATCCCCCAGTACCTTTAATTGAAAGTTGTGGCATGAGCAATAGACAAAACTCCCCAGTACTGAGAAATGGATATTGAAAGTACAGGAATTGCGTTCAATACTTGATACTGGTCCTTCCACTTTCTATTTTGTTGACGTCAAGAGTTTTTTACTAGTCCCATCAGGCATATTGGAAACAAGTTTTGATTGCCCGAGGCATAAATGTTCTAGTCCCAGACGTCGGGCTAGTGGATTTTTTAACCCCTGATTTATAAAAAATGCAGCAAATGTTCCAAAAGATGAATAGCTCTAACCTGATTTACTAAGAAGTTACAAGCCTATGAAAACTTCAAAAAATTGACTATTTTCAAGCCTACTAATTTTTTAAAAGCCCAGTATTAAAATATGGTTCTTTGGAAGAATTTGTTCCATTTTTGTCGAGCCTGCGACTTTTGTCGCAAAAGCGAGACATAGCGATCCTACAGTCTGTCGTCGTCGGCAGCTTCCACAAATATTCACTCTGTGGTTAAAGTTTTTGAAATTTTAAGAACTTTCTTAAACTATCCTAGATTTGTACCAAACTTGGACAGAAGCTTGTTTATAATCATAAGATGCCCGTACGAAATATTTAGCAGGATTCCTACCAGACTATAGCAGGAATTCACACGGAATTAGCAGGAAATTTTAAATTCCTGTTACTTTTTAGACGTACTAGGAAAAACTTCAGTTTTTCTGACAGGATTTTTCATTTTCCTACAACAACATTCCTGGTTTGGGTAACAGGAATATTTTTTCCTGCCAGAAAATCTTTTTACCAGGAATGTTTTCTTATTTAAGCAGGATTATTATCTTGACTGCTATTGGTTTGTATTCAATTATCTTTAACTGGATTCCGGTTTGCTTATAACATTTATTTTGCTGTGTAATAAGAGACCAGGTTCCAGTTAACAAATTCAAAAGTTGGAGCGTAAAAGATTCAGATTGTGTATAAACAATACTGCAAAGATTGAATAATTACCATGAGGGAAATATTTGAATGTAAGACAGGATTGCTTATGAAGGTATTTAAATTCAAGCTTCACTTTTTCATGTGTAAGAGGAAGTTTTTAATTTCTAATTTGCATGATAGTCAAATTAATTCAACTTATCAAAAAATGGAAACCTAAGTCTTCAATCATATTTTGTCTAATATATATTATAAGTTCATCTGATCTACATTTTTGTTGTAAACATATATACCAATATTTAAAAAAAATATGTACTTTCCTTTTAAATGGACTTAGTTTTTCTGCCAGTTAACATTACATTCACTCCGTGGTTAAAGCTTTCAAAATTTTAATAACTTTCTTAAACTATCCTGGATTTGTACCACACTTGGACAGAAGCTTGTTTTTGATCAAAAGCTAGTATCTAGAAGGAAATTTTGTAAAAATTTATTTCCTGTTTTTCCGTATATTACTTATAAATGGACTTAGTTTTATTCCAGATAACATTACGTACAGTCTGCAGTTAAAGTTTTTAAAACATTTATTAGATTCATAAACCTTCTTGGATTTTTACCAAACTTGAACAGAACTTCTTACAATCTTTAGAGATAGTATCTAGAGGAAAATTTTTAATAATTTTTTCCCCATTTTTGTTGAGCCTGCGACTAACAGCAAAAGTAGGCGAGACACTTGGTTCCGCGGAACCCTTACGAATTTTCTATAAATTTGTGCCATTTTAAGTAAAAAGACCCAGTTAAGAAAAATACGTTTTTAGCACTATCAAATTTTAACTCATATGAGGGATTGATACTCATTTGGGGAATAGTTCCCCATTTGGCAACCTGCTAAATAGTCAAAAAAATAATTGCATGTGAAATGTTAAAGTTCGCTAAGGACTAATAAAATTTCTGGTCTCATTGTTGTATAGTATCGGAGACATATATTATATATGTCGGGAACTTGGTTTGTTCTTTGGTTGATTGATTGATTGAGATAATACACATGTTCATAATGATAGCTGCATAGTTTGAAGTTATAATTTGTCAATTTGTTGATTTGACTATTTCAGGAACATTGACCCCTCAATAAAGTGACGTGTACCATTTTGACAAAAAATTTCCAGTTGCGTCATGTCGAGGCTAACAATTGGGCTAAATTTTTTTGTTGATATCTATAACTCAATTTGAGTAGAAGTCAAATGTAGTAAATGTCAAAATTTAGAACATGAGGGTGACCTTTGACCTTGACCTCATTTTCTTTCTGGTGGACCCAGGACCTCAAATCTAAAGAGTCCAGGTCTCTATCAATTAAGATTTACCAGTTAAAATAAGTATCATACATAAGGGGAAATAACTCTCATATTGAGTCTCCGGATTGCTTCAGTCAAAATTTTTTTCAACATCCTGAGGATGTAACGAGCAATTGGTTAAATAATTTTGTCAGTTTCTTTTATGGTTGCAAAGGAGTAACAATAATAAGGAAAACAGTGTTTGGGGAGATAACTCTTACAAGGAAAAGTGTTTGGTTAAATGGTGTCAGTTTCAAAATGGCATTAACTGTTCGATATATTATACATCAAACATCTAAGCGACATAATTTGAAACACCAAAACAGCGCAAGAAAAAAATTAAGAAAAATTATAATCGCAACAAAAACAAAAGGTCTTTTCACAGAAATTAAATAAAAAGAATTAAATTTCGAAATTATTTTCATGCGCGCACTCCAAAAATGTGGCAAGAAGACGACCTAATAATCAGAACAAAATAATAGGTCTTTAAAAAACGTAGTTGAAATAACTTCTAAAATCAGTCACAGTCTAATGCTACATGCATGCATAAGAATAAAATCTCAGATTTTTATACGACCGCAAAAAAAATTTTGTGGTCGTATATTGGTATGACGTTGGCGCCGTCGTCGTCGTCGTCCGAAGACACATTGGTTTTCGCACTCTAACTTTAGTTTAAGTGAATGGATCTCTTTGAAATTTTACCATAAGGTTCAATACCACAAAAGGAAGGTTGGGATTGATTTTGGGGGTTATGGTACCAACAGTTAAGGAATTAGGGGCCCAAAAGGGGCCAAAAATAAGCATTTTTGTAACTTCCAGACATAACTTGTGTGTTAGTGTATGGATCTCTCTGACATTGTACCACAAGGTTCCATATCACAAAGGGAATGCTGGGATTGATTTTGGGGGGAATTGCCTCAAAATTTTAGGAATTAGGGGCCAAAAAAGGGGCAAAAAACAAGAATTTTTCTAGTTTCATGACAATAACTTGTGTGTAAGTGTATGGATCTTTCTGAAATTATACTACAAGGTTCCATATCACAAACATGACAAAGGGAAAGCTGGAATTGAGTTTGGGGGTAATAGCCCAAAACATTAAGGAATAAGGGGCCAAAAAGTGGCCAAAAATAAGCATTTTTATACGACCGCAAACAAATTTTTGTGGTCGTATATTGGTATGACGTTGGCGTCGTCGTCGTCATCGTCGTCGTCATCGTCGTCGTCGTCCGAAGACACATTAGTTTTCGCACTCTAACTTTAGTTTAAGTGTATGGATCTCAATGAAATTTTACCATAAGGTTCAATACCACAAACGAAAGGTGGGGATTGATTTTGGGGGTAATGGTACCCACAGTTAAGGAATTAGGGGCCAAAAATAAGCATTTTTGTAACTTCCAGACATACCTTGTGTGTAAGTGTATGGATCTCTCTGACATTGTACCACAAGGTTCCATATCACAAAGGGAATGCTGGGATTGATTTTGGGGGTAATTGCCTCCAAATTTTAGGAATTAGGGACAAAAAAACAAGCATTTTTCTAGTTTCATGACAATGACTTGTGTGTAAGTGTATGGATCTCTCTGACATTGTATCACAAGGTTCCATATCACAAAGGGAATGCTGGGATTGATTTTGGGGGTAATTGCCTCCAAATTTTAGGAATTAGGGGCCAAAAAGGTGCAAAAAACAAGCATTTTTCTAGTTTCATGACAATAACTTGTGTGTAAGTGTATGGATCTCTATATGAAATTGTACTACAAGGTTTCATATCACAAAGGGAAAGCTGGAATTGAGTTTGGGGGTAATTGCCTAAAAAGTTTAGGAATAAGGGGCCAAAAATAAGCATTTTTCTAGTTTCCAGAAAATAACTTTATGTTCAAATGTATGGATCTCTCTGAAATTGTACTGCAAGGTACCATACCACAAAGGGAAGGCTGGGAATGATTTTGGGGGTAATTCCCTCAAAATTTTAGTAATTAGCAAAATGATATTTGCTTTTAAAATAATAGTCAGTTTTTTGATTGCATATCTGTATCAAAATTGTTTTTTACTGGCAAAATTGGCTTCTGCTTAACTAGAGCCAGCAAAATAGCATTTTTTTATTTTGCCAGTTCTGGCAATTTAGCCACTGCCTTTCATTATTCAGTTTCTTTTCTATTATTATGCAAATTAGCTTTGCTACATAAAGTACACTTTTAATATCAAATTAAAAAATAGAAAATAATAATGATAATACATTTATTGTAATACTCCAATCAAGATTCATAAAATTTTTTACACAATTTTAGTCATTTTGAAATGACTTAAAAGTTCGGGCCTTTTTTTCAAACTGTTGAAATTATTCACACTAGATTCATGGCATCAACGAACTTGTATTAAATAATTTAATATTTCATGGCATTCACGTCAGGAATTTTCTCACCGTTTTCTAAAAAAGTTCAAGAACAAATTGTGGAATTCAACAGTTTAATATGGAAATGATTTTAATGACTCAAGATGGGAAATTTCTCAGGAATCTCCAACTCTTTTTTCGATTTTGAAGATGAAAAGTGGAAGTTTCACGTTAATACTAACGTACGAGTGATTCCAGAATTATTTCCAGGATTAGTTCTGTTTATCAAATTGACAGGAAATCACCAGATTTTCAATTTTATTACTTTTACTGTGACTTGCCTGTAAGTGTAGCTCTCCACCTATTGCAGTTTATTCAAAATTCTGACCAAATTTCAATTGATTTATCAAACCAAACTGTTCAACTGGTCAGAATTTTTAAGAAACTGCTGTAGATATCTACTCAGGTCATGAAAGTGCAAGGTGATAAAATAAAGCATACTTACATGCTAGATATACTTACTTGAGGTATGATGAGATGATCGAAGCGGTTAATTTTCTCCTTGATAACACTTATGTACGTTTTGGCAATAAAGTGTATCGACAGGTTGTAGGTATTCCTATGGGCACCAATTGCGCCCTTTTAATAGCAGACTTGTTCTTGTACTGTTATGAATCACAGTTTATAACCAAACTCAGTAAAGCCACGTATAAATTGCATTTAATTGATAAATTCAACAACACTTATCGTTATCTTGAATACTTTTTCGTTAAATAATCAAGAATTTTCTAATTATACTGCTGAAATTTACCTAAAGGAACTTACTTTAAATAAATCAAATATGAACGGTTAATAACTGTCCTTTCTTAGATTTAGATATTTCAGGGGTTTCATTATTTTTTTAGACTGGAGGTACTTTATAGAAAAATTATTACCTACACACATGTATCACCTTTCATAAATTGTCATTTTCAAAATATCATTAAAGTGGAATTAAAAGTCTGCTTTTTACAATAGGATTGTATGTATGCTTTTATTTTATCACCTTTCACTTTCACGACTTGACTGAAGTTTTCTACAGCAGTTTGTTAAAATTTCTGACCAGTTGAACAGCTTGGTTTGATAAAACAAATTGCAATTTGGTCAGAATCTTGAATAAACTGCAATAGGTGGAGAGAAACACTTACAGTCAAGTCACAGTAATAGTGTTTGATTATAACAGATAATAGTTGCACTCATTTGGTTAAGTATGAAATTATTTTGCATTTTACGATTAAGTGTCTAATCTGGTGAAGACAATTTCATGCATGCCGATGTGTAATACATAGTAATTAATGTACACGTTTGATTCGTGAAAAATAATTTTTTTCTACGTAAATTAAATCAAGTTTTAATTTTTCAATCAGAATTGAACAAAAGAGGCGCCTGCCATGTTGCTCATGTTAGTACAAACTTGATGATAAGTATTACTTGGTAGGTCACATTTGGGGGAAGGGAACAGGATTGTAGTTATAATAATAAGAACATATCCATTGTCATCTGAGAAACATATATCATAACTATTGTCTTTGCTGAAAAGTAATTAAAAAATGAAGGAAGTTGTCATGGAATTTTTATTTCTTTAATACTAGTTCTGAGCTTGTGATCACTGTCAGGTGTGAATTAAAAACACATGTAAAAGTAATTGGTGATCATTAGCCGATTTTTCTTGTACATATAGTCCTAAATCCCAATCTGCTGTTTAGGCCATGGGCATGACTGGCAAATACACCGTTTCCGGACCCTTGACCCCAATTATACAATAATTAATAATGCAATGCCAATTATATTTTATGAAATGAAGGGGCTGTTAATTAGCATTCAAATTCCAATATTAATCTTTCCCTTTTATAAGGTGAAGTTTATCATATACATGTGTATATGTAATTGTAATTATATTCATATTACAAGAAGGCTGCCTTTCTTGTGTTGTATTTGTTTAGTTTGGCCTCTTATTTTGAAAGTTGGGGCATACATGTAGAAGAATGTAGAATGTAATGTGCATTGTTCTCCCCCAGTGCCTAAAAGCAATGGGACCTGCTGTCCTACTATAATTTAGATGCACCTTGTTCAATCTTATCTGTGCGGTATAAAATCTATATGTAGGTGAAATTTAACCAGCATGTTGATTGTTTACAGCACATGATCGATTTACCTGATGAGGTTAACTTGTTGTTGATTGGATGTAATTGATTAATTAACACTTGTTACTCATCATTCTATTGTGTTTTAAATGATTTAGAGATAATTAATGACTTCTGACATCAATTTTATGCCCTCACTCAACACCCAAGCACTGACCAGTGACACATCGGAAATTTTATTTGTACACATTGATGAATTAGCCAAAATTAATTTGAACTCTAAAAAAGGCTTCCATTTACAGTCACAGCCTAGCCATCACATAAAGTACTGTTGGAATAAGTTCTGTAATCTCACCCTAAAGTATCATGTGTATTTTGAATGGCAAAAAAAAAGTATTGAAAATTAGGTTTAATTATTCATAAAAATATTTAAAGGAAAAAACTGATCGCAAAATATTGAAATAGTATTTAATTTAATTAAAATTTGATTCTAGTACATACAGAATCAATACATTGTAAATGAGAGATAATATCTTTAATACTTCTATGCACTCTTAATAATTAAATTCAGCTGAAAAAAATTTGTACATGTTATGACCTGACATTTTCTTCCTCACATGACCTGCATTTTAATTTTCAGAGTTTGTCAGGAACGCCATATTTCCTTTTATTCATATAGACAATAGGAAAGTTTGGTGAATTAATTTTATCTGTCTGTGCACTTATCTTTTGTAGAGTTTTACAAAAAGTTTTCTTTATTTTAGGTTTGTTATACAGATTCATGTTGAGAAATATTGGACGTCTTTTGGATCATACTCATTCATCACTTATCTGCACAACTTTAAAGCAGACCTATTTTGCCTTAAAAACAAGACAACTTTCATTAACAGCACTTGAGCTCTCATCTAAAAATTTAAGATCAGTTCTGTTCAACTCTCAATTGTTTTATAGTGAAATATATTTAGAATTTGCACATCATAATGCAAGTGTAAGACAACTTCAAGTCAGATTTTCTACATCTATAACTAAAAACAGAATGGCTGAAAAAAAAGAATTGTCTGCAAAACGTAAAATGGATACTGAGGGTACTCCTCCAACAGAAAAAAAGCAAAAATTGGAAACAAGTGACATCAAATCAGATGACTTTATTGATAAAATTTCAGCAAATAGGAGCAATGTCTGTAAATCAATATCTGAATTTAAATTTAATAAGAAGAGGGTGCGTGTATTATCAAAGGTAAAAGATTTTCCTGAGGATAGTCAAGGAGTTGTATACTGGATGTCAAGGGATCAAAGAGTTCAAGGTAATTACAGAGGGTTAAGGTCAATCCTTTAAAAGTATAAAAAGACATCTCTCAAAATCTTCCTGAAACCAGACAAAGAAATTTATAAGTCTCTTTAAGTTTTTCTTTTGATTTGTATTTGTAAGAAATATACCTGTCACAGTTACACAAATGCACTGGTATATTTAAAGAAAGTCCAAATATATCATCAATGCAAATATGTGACTGATTGGCATGTATGTATGGATTGATAATTTATTGTCCTAGGTTAGCGCAAGAGACAAATGCCATTCGCCATACTTCATTAAGTTACATTGTACAGTACTCATTATATTTAGCAGATTATATTTGTTTCCTGGCATGTTTATTGCAAGCTGAAAGTTTATTTAGCCACACAATATTTTTATCAGCCTTTGCTGTGATGCTCTTCTAATAACACATACATTGACATACATGTACATTGACATACATGTACATTGACATACAATTACATGATTAATCTTTCAAATGAATACAGGACAAGAACATGTGAAATTAAATGGAGCTCTGCTTTTACTTTACATCAACACTTTGAGCCACATTTTTAAATGCTTACAAAATGTATATACTAACAAGGCAGAAGTCAGCATGCAGATACATGATAAAACCTGGACTTTATTTCTAAGTTCAAACTGCTTACCAGAGATTTTAAGTTACTCCATATTTAAAGTTTACCAGAGAAATAGCAAATGCCAATTGTGCATGTTAAGTCATCTGATTGACCTTTCCATGGATCAAACCCATGTTCTCTGTCACTTTAGGCAAGGATTCAATACTCTCTCAATCAGAATGAAATATCTAAAACTAATGGAACATTAGAGAAACAATATATCCTCATCCTAACCTTGATAGAAGGAGAATGTAAAAAAGTATAACAAAATACCGAACTCCAATGTACAGCTTAAACAGTCACTATTAAGTGTCATCAAATATTGAATAAATGATAATACAGTTGTATGTGCTATATTTTCCAGATAATTGGGCTTTCCTGTATGCACAGAAACTTGCATTGAAGATGGAAGTACCATTGCATGTTTGTTTTTGTCTAGTACCAAAGTTCTTAGAAGCAACTATAAGACATTACCATTTTATGATGGAGGGTCTGAAAGAAGTTGAACAAGTTAGTTATTCATACATTTTTATACGCCCGTCAAATTTTTGACGGGACGTATTATGTTATACAAATGTCCGGCATCTGTGCGTCTGTCCGTCTGTCTGTCCAGCGGAAACATGTCGCACCGTAACTTGAGAATGACTTATCCAAATTTCATGAAACTTAACATAGTTGTTTCTTATGATGGTCAAACGATCTGTATACTTTTTGGTGAAAATAAGATTCAAAATTTTTGAGTTACGGGTCTTAGTAACTAAAACAGGTGTGTGTTTTTTTTTCACATGTCGCGCCGTATCTCAAAAACAGTTTATGATTATTGCTTAAAACTCTACACACTTCTTAGTTATATTAATCTTAAGATCTGTATACTTTTTGGTGATGATTCAAAATTTTATTTTAGAGATATTGAGTATTTTGTTATAAAAGGGGGAGGGGTTTTTCACATGTCGCGCCGTATCTCAAAAACAGTTTATGATTATTGCTTAAAACTTTACACACTTCTTAAGTTATATTAACCTTAAGATCTGTATACTTTTTGGTGATGATTCAAAATTTTATTTTTGAGTTATTGAGTATTTTGTAAAAAAAGGGGGAGGGGTTTTTCACATGTCGCGCCGTATCTCAAAAACGATTTATGATTATTGCTTAAAATTTTACACACTTCTTAGTAGTATTAATCTAAAGATCTGTATACTTTTTGGTTTTGATTCAAAATTTTTTTTTTGAGATATTGATTTTTTTTTTTTAAAAGGGGAGTTTTCACATGTCGCGCCGTATCTCAAAAACAATTTATGATTATTGCTTAAAATTTTACACACTTCTTAGTTATATTAATCTAAAGATCTGTATACTTTTTGGTTTTGATTCAAAATTTTATTTTTGAGATATTGATATTTTTTTTTTAAAAGGGGGGTTTTCACATGTCGCGCCGTATCTCAAAAACAATTTATGATTATTGCTTAAAATTTTACACACTTCTTAGTTATATTAATCTAAAGATCTGTATACTTTTTGGTTTTGATTCAAAATTTTATTTTAGAGATATTGAGTTTAAAAAAAAAAAGGGGGTGTTTTCGCATGTCACGCCGTATGTCAGAAACTATTTATGCTTATTGCAGAAAAATTCACACACAAGACGACGGGCGTATAATGCGCTCGTGGCGCAGCTGTTTATTAAAAGTACTTATAAATACAAGTGTGCATATGGAATCTCTTAATTATTTATGTTGTGTTGCATCATAAAAAAAAACTTGAAATTATTTAAAATTTTAAATTACATAATAATGCTTACACTTCATTCTTTCAAAATTTCTTTGAAATAACTGTAATCAGTTTACTGTGCTTACTGCTGTGAAGGATCTTTTATGTTACTTGTTTGATGATTTTAGCTCATCTCGCCACAGGCTAGTATAAAACTATAAACCTTTTCAAAGATCTCATAAAATAAACTACAGATCCAATCTGCCAATAAAGAACCTAAGAGGTTATGGTTAATTTCATTGTTTGTACAACAGAATGAAAATAACCCAGCATCATTGGTTGAATGTTCATTGTGTAGAACTTTGTTAACTAATCAAAACTTTCTGGTGTACCCTTTTGAAAATATAACCTAGGATGCATTAGATTCTGAAACAGTGAATTGAAATAAAACTTTGTAAAATCAATCTGTAGGGTTTCTAGTTAATTTTTATTTTTTTCTCAATCCATCAACCAATATTGGCTCCATGGCTAATAATATAAAATACCTGGTAAAAGTTATTATATATATACAAGTCTTATATCTTGCAAACCATAGCAAGTACAGAAAATCTGATAGGATCTAAAAAATTCAAAATTATCAGAAGTTTTTTTTTGCAAATTTTAGGGTTTTTTCTATTAACTTGAAAACTATAACTGATAGACTCAAACTGTACACATAAAAAAGATCAGAAATAAAAAGATATACAAAAATGCCAATAAGACTAACCATTAATTTACTTCTTTCAGGAGTTATTTCTTTTAAATGACAAATATTATTATTGTTTACAATACAATTAAAGAATAAGTAATCAAATATAAAAAGTATTCAATGAGTAATCAAACAACACATTATTCAGGAATGGGCAGAGAAGATTTTTTCTTTGTTTGAAATTATCTGACTCAAGCTGTGTGGAAAGCTTAAGCTTTAGAAAAGGCTACATAGAAAAATAAAGTGTAAAGAAAAAATGAAGATTAAGAAAATCTCGTTGAAAAGTGGAAAAATTCTTTTTTATTCATATAAATAAATTGAGTTTTATTAGTTTGCTATTTTTTTCATACTTAATAAATGTAAAATTCATTCATCGTTGTAGCCAGATTTTTATACGACCGCAAAAAAATTTTTGTGGTCGTATATTGGTATGACGTTGGCGTCGTCGGTGTCGTCGTCCGAAGACACATTAGTTTTCGCACTCTAACTTTAGTTAAAGTGAATGGATCTCAATGAAATTTTACCATTAGGTTCAATACCACAAAAGGAAGGTGGGGATTGATTTTGGGGGTTATGGTACCAACAGTTAAGGAATTAGGGGCCAAAAATAAGCATTTTTGTAACTTCCACACTTAACTTGTGTGTAAGTGTATGGATCTCTCTCACATTGTACCACAAGGTTCCATATCACAAAGGGAATGCTGGGATTGATTTTGGGGGTGATTGCCTCCAAATTTTAGGAATTAGGGGCCAAAAAGGGGCAAAAAACAAGCATTTTTCTAGTTTCATGACAATAACTTGTGTGTAAGTCTATGGATCTCTCTGACATTGTATCACAAGGTTCCATATCACAAAGGGAATGCTGGGATTGATTTTGGGGGTAATTGCCTCAAAATTTTAGGATTTAGGGGCCAAAAAGGGGAAAAAACAAGCATTTTTCTAGTTTCATGACAATAACTTGTGTGTAAGTGTATGGATCTTTATGAAATTGTACTACAAGGTTTCATATCACAAAGGGAAAGCTGGAATTGAGTTTGGGGGTAATTGCCCAAAAAGTTTAGGAATAAGGGGCCAAAAATAAGCATTTTTCTAGTTTCCAGACAATAACTTGTGTTCAAGTGTATGGATCTCTCTGAAATTGTGCTGCAAGGTACCATACCACAAAGGGAAGGCTGGGATTGATTTTGGGGGTAATTCCCTCAAAATTTTAGTAATTAGGGGCCATAAAAGGGCAAAAAAACAAGCATTTTTCTAGTTTCAGGACAATAACTTGTGTGTAAGTGTATGGATCTTTATGAAATTGTACTGCAAGGTTCCATATCACAAAGGGAAAGCTGGGTTTGAGTTTGGGGGTAATTGCCCTAAACGTTTAGGAATTTCGGGCCAAAAAGGGGCCAAAAAACAAGCATTTTTCTAGTTTCCAGACAATAACTTGTGTTCAAGTGTATGGATCTCTCTGAAATTGTACTGCAAGGTACCATACCACAAAGGGAGGACTGGGATTGAGTTTGGGGGTGATGAATCATAAGGGGGTTCAAAAAATTTGGGGGGGGGGAATTTTTATTTCCTTTTTTTTCTTCAAAATTTTCCATTTTAAATTGGTTATTTCTGATTTATATATAAAAGCAAATAATAATGATTTTGTTTGAATAGGTAAATTAAAAATTTTTAAGTTCTTAGACCACTTCCATTCTGTGTCAGAAACCTATGCTGTGTCAAATATTTAATTACAATCCAAATTCAGTGCTGTATCAAACTTGAATGTTGTGTCCATAATTGCCCCAACTGTTCAGGGTTAGACCTCTGCGGTCGTATCAAGCTGCGCCCTAGCGGGGCATTTTATTCTTTTTGTTGTAGGATTGCAATAAGTTGGAAATATCTTTCCATTTATTGATTGGTTATGCCAAAGATGTGTTGCCACAGTTTGTTACAGATCAGGATATTGGTGGTGTAGTGACAGATTTCTCTCCCTTACGTACGCCGATGCAGTGGGACGATGATGTCACAAAAGCCATACCTAAAAATATACCAATTTGTCAGGTACATTATTTTAAATATTTTAGCAAGAATAATTGCAATTAGAATATATATAAAAGTGACATACATAGCTTCACAGCAATATCATTCCATGCAAATGAAGTGTTTCAATTCTGCAAGTGTTTCCTGTTTCACTTGGCCTGCCACAGGGCTTCCAAAAAGGTTATATTTCCGGACAAGTCAGTGAAATTATATTCTCGTCAGTTTGTGCTGAGCCTGAATGAAACATCAAATGTGAGTTTGCCATTTTAATATAATTCAGAAAAAAATTGAAGTTCATGCAATCTTTTGGACCTGGCCTTATACATAAAACAGCCACACATTTCTGGTCATAAAAGTGACACGATAAAAAAATACTAGACATCGATCAGTCTATTTAGAGTTATTTTCTTAAATTACACTAGTTTGCATCTAATTGATTTAGTCAAAAAGATTTAATCTATCAGAAATTAGTATTTAAATGTGATGTGATGATACATTTCTATATATAGTAATATAGGTTTTAATCCAAAAATCGTCAGAACCATGTTGTTTGACTAGTTCACTTGTGTGCATGTGTGAATTTTAGTTATGCATCCATATTCTTCGAAATATTTTTACCTGTGATTTGTTGGATGTAAGCATTCAAGGATTAAACCCAATCACCAAGGGTGTCTACAAATAGCTATTAGATTAAATAAAGGCTGCTCATTTCCATTGACAATAAAAACATCTGATTTAAATATTGGACTCAGAATATAAACTTAAATCAATTCTTTTCCTTCCAAATTTTCTTGAAATGTGAACTTCAGCAAATCATGGTTAACTTATTTTATGATTATTTTTCTTTGATGGCACTTTGTTATTTACTTGAGTTAACCTAGATTTTGAATAAACCAATTTCGACTCATCAGAGTTCAAATTACATTGAGCAAACAGGAATTTACTGGGACTAGCAAAACCTTGAGATACTTGAGTTTTTAACACATGGAGATTCGACTGTAGTTTAGCATATTAAGAAAACCTATAGGATTGCAGATATTCTTTATTCTGCTGCTGCAGTACATTCTTGTATTGATGAATTCATTGTAGTTCTCCAAGAACAGTTACAATGCAGGTAAAATTACTTTATACCTGTAGGCATATAAGTGTACAAGGTTGAGTTCATAATACAGTTACGTTAGAATTTTTATGAGCAGCAATAAGAGAGTGGAACTTTATAAAGTCAGGTCACGTTTTTCACTATAATGCATAAATTGTGTCTGTCCTCTTGTTGATTTTTTCACTTTTTTCATTTCTAGGTAGATGCACATAATATAGTACCTTGCTGGGAAGCTTCACCAAAACTTGAATATGGAGCTAGAACAATCAGAAATAAAATCCATAATCAGCTGTCTGGTTACTTAACAGAGTTTCCCCCTGTTTGTGTTCACCCTTATACTCCCAAACAGAAACCACAGGTACAGTCTACAGTGTCACAGAAAGGGATATTTATATCCAAATACCATCATATTTTTAACCAACTAAAGTCATAAAGTTCATAAATTTTAATTATATCATATTTTACAAATAAAGTATATATTTATTCTGTCATACCTGTAGGAATTACCATATCATATGAGAGTATTTAGATTCATTGTATTAAGAAAACCTTAATTTAAAGGAAGGTACAAATGTATCACAATATCCATAATTATTGCAATGAAATAAAACCTTTTCTCACAATCAGTTTGTGTGTTTCTCTGGGTATGTGGCAGATTGAATTTTACCATTGAATAGATAAATAGCTATTGTTCTCTGCTTTTGGGGTGTTAGATATAGGGGGTAAAAAAAGTTAGATATATGTGGTAAACAAAAAGTGGGGATGTGGGATATAGGGAGTAAAATTGTGAGATCTTTGAAAAAGGAGAAAAAAATTGGGAAGTGGGAAAAATTATAAAAAAAAGCGTAATTGGGAAATTAGCACCTCCTTCCCCCCTCCTCTATGGAGTTCTTTCAACAGGAACATTCATGTAAACTTCTTGAAAAACCAATCATTCATTGATTAATTTGGCTGTACAAAAAAATAAACCAGTAATGAAATAACATGTACCAGTACTGAATGACACATATTGTAATACCAAGAGGTCATTATTACAAATTTACGTCAATTATACACCACTGAAGACTTGTGTTGGATAGTTGCCTCATTGGCAATCATACCACATCTCTGTTGAGATTTACAAATAAGCAAAAATAACTGATTGCAGTGGTAAAAGTGAAAAGAAATATCAAAATTGCATATTTTTACCAGGTGAGCAATTCAGGCTCTCATGAGCCTCTTGTTTTTTTATTGGTACCAATATTTAGTGTGACGAGAGAAAGTATATATTGTAGAAAATAATTTGGTAATGCTTTCATAAATGCCTTTTAATAAATATATGTTTAATATCAATATAATATCAATTTATATGTAACAGATTAAAAATTTGACATAATATTGACTTTGAAAAAGAATCTAAGATAAACTTCAAGAATAAAATAAATAGAAAAAAGATTTTTGTCTGTTTTATTTAACAGGTCATTGATTGGACAAAAATTGAGGCTAGTTTGACAGTTGACAGAACAGTTGGACCAGTAGATTGGGCAACACCAGGTTCATTGGCTGGTTTACGCATGCTGGAATCTTTTTGTAAAGAAAGACTTAAGTATTTTTCAAAAGATCGAAATAATCCAAATAAGACAGCTTTGAGTAATTTATCCCCATGGATTCACTTTGGTAAGATAATGTTTGGTGTTTTTTCTTTCAATAAATATATTATTATTATACCCCCCTCCAGGATTGGGGGCTTTATTGCATTCACCTTGTCCATCTGTTTATCTGTCTATTGATCAAACAAATATTTTGGAAGTACATTGAATAGAATGACTTCATATTTGGCAGTGATTAGTTGTAACCTATGAGGGCTTTTAGGATCTGTCAAACACCTACAGAGTATACTTAGCAAGACAACAAATGCATTTCTGTTATTTTTACTTTGAGCAGGCAAATAAAACTAATACAAACTTTTCGTATTTCATTTGTATTTAAATTCTTCATGTAGACCTGGATTATATGGTATGTTATAGCCTTACTAGCAATGGTAGAGCTAGCAGGTGCAAAGCGAGATCTTAATTACAGTATGAATAAAAAAAAGTAATGAAAAGGCATGGTCATTCATACTGATGATGACCTAAAACATACCTGAAAGCTTTTTGATTGGGATGTAATACATATCTATACTATGAGAAATATCTCAACTATATTTGTTGTTTGGAATGATTGTAAGGTATTCATGTTGGTCTGGCAAGGCTCCATTTCATGATTCATTGGTAATGTTAAGTTTATGTGATACTTGTAGTAAAACCTTCATATATCAGACTTTCATCATAAATTCAATCATAAGTAAAGCAGCCAGACATTTCACCCTGTGCACTCTTGTCATGTTTGTTGCAATGAAATACTGTTTCCCAGTGAAGTAAAAACTAACATTTCAAACTAGAAATAAATCCTGTATTTTCATTCCCCTGATGCCATACAACTATAGATGTTGTCAACTAAGTCACATCTAAACACTGCCAGAATGTGTAGAAACAAACATAGTTTCTTGCATTTTCGAATTTATTTACATAAAAAGAAATATTATCCAAGAATTCGAGTATGAAAAATATTCAACTGGTGGCCAAACAACACTGAAAATTCACAGGGACAACATTGAATTCTTGTAAAATTGTTAATGAAGTACATGCACTTGCTGCTTTTGAATGCTAATCACATATCATGATTGAATGGCATAGATCTCATTATTGTTTAAGCCTTTAAATCATCTTTTCTCATAATTTTCAATAATGTTACTGATTGTTTGTTGTTTTTCCATTTTTTTTTTGTGTGTGTTATATAGATGTGAATATTACAGGTCAGATCTCAGTTCAGCGATGTATTCTAACTGTTAAACAGTACAGAAGTAAATACAAGGAGGGAGTGGAGGCTTATATAGAGGAAGCTATAATAAGAAGAGAGCTAGCTGATAATTTCTGTTTTTACAATAAAAATTATGATTCAATAGAAGGTATATGTTAGTTTTAAGTGTTATAGAAGGTTAAAAATGAATACTTTGATTCACAGGTAGAAAAAATTATTTCCATAAAACTGTTAGGAATTTTCTGTAATGTTGAAAATGAGATGCTATTGTGATAGACTTGTTAATTTTCAGATTGGCTCATAGTGTTTATTATGGATGTGAAAGATTGTGGTTTAGAAACAATTCTTTTCTCTGAAAATAATGATTTATAAATGATAGTTATTCTTTTCATTCTCAATTACAGTAATAAGAAATTGAACTGTGAATATTGCCGACTTTCTATCCAGAGGTGTCATTAAGCTTGCATAATGAAAATCTGTCTGTGAATTAAAGTATGTAAAGACAATATTTTAATAACAAATAACAGTACAGAAAACTTTTGATAAAACAATTATCTTTTAAAGAAAATTCTATATATACATATGATTACATTGTGACATTATTTATGCATACCCGATTTTGTACTTCAGATGCAATTTTCTGTATTGTTTTTATCCTGATGAGGGTGCCCTAGGCACCAAAACATGTAGATCATTAAATTTTCTGCAGCAGTCCCTAAAGTGTTGTTGCTATAAGACTCTCTACATTTTATGTGCTTTATCATAACGACCCTGCATACCCGAGGTATCCACTTCAGGGACTCTTAATACTGTACTACAAATTCACCAGGCGTTGGTTCACTTTCGTTTTTAATTTATTATATTTTTATAGTAAAACTAAGCCATTCAAGTTTATAAAACATATTGATCTTTTTTTTTGAATTTGAAGGATCATATGACTTAAATCTGAACTTATTGTTTGCTTTCACAGGTGCTTATGACTGGGCTAAAACATCACTGAAGTTGCATGAAAAAGATAAACGGAAGTATTTATACACTAGAGAACAGCTAGAAAAAGGTCAAACTCATGATGACCTTTGGAATGCTGCACAGGTTAGTTTCATCTGCAAATTCTTCCTGAATGATGTTCTTTAACAAATCACCAGATAAAACATTATTGAGTTAATTATAGTGGAAAGAATTTCAGAAGATCAAAAAGTTTTCTTGTCAAAGAGTATAAACATCAAGCATTAATTGTTAGATCAATCATTAGTGTTCTTTGTTGACTCAATATCAAAGCTAAAAATGACAAATCTTTTTTATATTATTATTTGTTTTTAAGGAGTTGGCTTGTTATAGTGACTCTTTATTTTGACATTACTTTCACCATCAATAAAACTTTTTATGCCCCCACCGTAGCAGAGGGGGCATTAAGTTTTACCCTTGTCCATCCGTACGTACGTCCCAAAGTTGGTTTCCGTTCTCTAACTTTAGTTTGCCTCAACCAAATGTTATGAAACTTATACACAATGCTTATTACCACATAATACAGATCAAGTTTTAAATTCGGTAGTGTCACTTTTACCATTCTTGAGTTATGCCCCTTTTTAAACACAAAAATTGCTGAATTTTTCATTTCTGTTCTCTAACTTTAGTTTGCCTCAACCAAATGACCACAATGCTAATTTTGGTGGTGTCACTTTTACCGTTCTAGAGTTATGCCCCTTTACAAATGGAAAAATTTGCTGAATTCTGTTCTTTAACTTAAGTTAGCCTCAACCAAATGTTATAAGACTTATACACAATACTTATTACCACAAAACTCAGATCAAGTACAAATTTGGGTAGCGTCACTTTTACCATTCCTTAGTTATGTCCCTTTATAACTTTATATGATATACAAGCGGGGGCATCATCTGTTTCCCATGGACACATGCCCCATTTATTTTCTTTTTCAATACCTCTGAGTCTCCTAACTCATAACTTTCCATATTTTGATTGTGTTGTGAGTCTTATACTAAGCATGCTTTTGAACGTCGTACAGACCACCAGAAGCAACCAAAAAGCTGATTAAACATAATGTGCACAATAAAGATTCATTGTGCCGAGTGAACTTGGATGTAAAAATTGAAATTTTTCATCCAATCTGCTTGACATTTGCAGTTATATTTCTAAGTTTTTACACAGCCACTCGGCCCAGACAAAGACCTCTATCTTGTTGGAGTTGACATAGCAAGAATGATTTTCAAATACTAATAAATCAAACATAAAAACTACTGACCAAAGTTTTCAAATGATAGCTGATTGTTTCTTTTTATTGAAAGTAAAGAATAATCGTGAGAAATACAAATGTGGGTCATTCCGGGTTACAATATCCGAATGAGGGAGATTCTATACTCCAGCGCGGGAGCAGACCGGCAAGCGAGAGATTTCTGGAATTTGGTCGTTTGCGCAGGAGACTCCTGCTCAAAACAGGAGGGTTGGCTGGTATGGTTATGGTAATTATTACAACGGAAATTGAAATTTATGCCTTCAAATTTTTGAAAGTGTTTTTATCACAACAAGACCGGAGGATACAAAAAAAGGTCTTGAAAAAAGAAACTAGAGCAGAGTGTTGTCAGATACTTGTAAGCGAAGCATTGACACAGGATCTCCATTTCAATCAGATTATTTTTTTTTTTTAATTTCTATTTAATTTGATTTTTCAAAAAACTATTATAAAATAATCCAGGTAAAAGTTAAAGTTGTCAGACATTGGAACTTGTTACTTTAATAGATTCAGATGGCAATAGAAGGAAAGATGCATGGATTCTTGAGAATGTATAGGGCCAAGAAAATCTTAGAATGGACAGGAAGTCCAACAGAAGCTTTAGAGACGGCAATCTATCTCAATGACAGATTTAATTTAGATGGCAGAGATCCTAATGGCTATGTTGGTAAGTTATATACATATATGTATTAATTTGTTATATTTTGAACCCATATTGTTTATATTATGGATTTGGTCTTCCCTTAAATAATTGAAAGAGGGTTTTACTGATATTAATGCTGTAGTAGAAATAAGGTGATTTTAAGTGAGTGAGAAAACATACATTAAGAAAAAGGGGGGATGGAAATGATGATGACAGTTTACAGTTGAGTGCTTTCTTTTCTGGCTTTGGATACAGAAGTGAAGTATCTTCTGTATTGCCACAGTAACCTTGGAAACTTATGATTTGACAAAATCATATTTGATGAGGATATTTTTACATGCAACATGATAACAAAAAAGAAACTCAGGTTGTATCATTCATCACATAGAAATCGTTTGTGTCAAATCTGGGACTATTATACTAATGGGACTGGAAACTGATCGATCTGTTGAGATTTCATTGTCCAGATAGTGGATTATTGATTTTTTGTTTTGATTGACAGCCTATCGTGCCACGTGGTTAATTAGCCTTCGTTACATGTAAACAATAGATTTCGGCGAACAAGTCATCATATAGAATACCGTTAAAATGGTGGATTTGAAATTAAAAAAAATAAATAATTAAATGCAAAAAATAAAAATATGTGAATAATAAAACTATTTTAACAAATTAAATACATTTACTTGAAATAAATGTTTTTACACAGGGATAGACTAATGCCGATTACAACTGGGACAAGTTCTTCTTTATTTTAACTTAATTGTCGAAGTAGTTTTGAAAGATAAATACTTTTCTTATTGTTTACGAAAAATTATTAATAAGTAGTCAATATATTAGTGTTGAAAATTAAACAAATATAGTCGAAATGCTGGCGCTTTACTTGACCGCTAAGAAATCAACGTGTCGAAGGTTAACAGATCATAATTAATCCTAATAAAATCAATCTTGGCAATTTCAGTTCATAATTAATCCCTATAACAAAAGTTCACCAGTTCTCATAAAAATATAGCCACATTGTTTTGAACTTTTCTAAATTTCGTGTTTACACCTAAACTTCAATATGGCAGCAATAGCTGTGAAAGGGCTTACTTTTATAGTTCTGATTGTGGAACCTATTGTACATATTTTCAAGAAGTCATATGCTTGTGCCACCTGAAGACCAGGCCATTACTAAGCAAAAAAAACCCTGATTTTAAGACAAATATTGCACATATAAATAGGAGTAAGCAATTTTATAGGAACAGTATAATTTATTTGAGCCCTGCATGTGGTTTCCGTTTGTAATGAGAAGGAGATTTATAATCTACTTTTCACTTTAAAAAGTGACAATAAAAATAGGCCAATCCAACCTATAACCTATAAATATGATTTTACAACAAACCGAACTCGCGTATCTCGTTTCAATCAATAGTTTTAAGAAATTTTATGAATCATACTTGTTTTCACAGCGTCCCCACACTATTATCATCCTGAAAAAAATTCAACATTTAGATGTCATTTTTACACTTTAGGCGGGATTTGGTGATTAATAACAACTGTCAAAGATCGAGATATCTTTCATCATTATAGTAATCGTGTTTACATTAAGGTTTATCATTTCCAATAACTATAAAAAATAAAAACAAATTACAAATATTATACGTTCAAGGCACACTGTCACTGTCAAAACAATATGGGGTATCGATAAATCTCGCGCAGGTAAAGTCTTGTTCTAACAACCGTGATGTTGAGTATTTTAAACTGATTGGTGTAACGGTTTTCAGTCCCGTTAGTATAATAGTCCCAGGTCAAATTGGAAAGTATAAGTTTTAGTTAAAATACTACTTAATATATTATTGGATAAATTTTATAACTCTTATGTAAAAAAGTATAACAAAAAACAGAACTCCACGGTAAATTCAAAAAGGGTAAGTCCATAAAAAAATGTCATATTCCTGACTTGGTACAGGCATTTTCCCAAGAATAAGATGGGTTAAACCTGGTTTTATAGTTATCTAAACCTCCCACTTGTATGACAGTTGTTTGTAGTTCTGTTATATTGACAAATTTTGGTGAGCAACCCAGACAGACATAATAGGAATTATAAAATAAACTAACAAAACCATTCAAGATTTTGAAACTTTTATTATATTAGAATTAGTTCCTTGATTCTGAAAAATATAATCAATGAATTTATAAGATCATTAAAACCCTTGAAAAAGCTATTATATTTAATTGATTTGTCATTTATAGGCTGCATGTGGTCAATTTGTGGAATCCATGATCAGGGATGGAAGGAAAGAGAAATTTTTGGAAAAATTCGCTACATGAATTATGAAGGTTGTAAAAGAAAATTTGATGTTGCTGGTTTTGTTAGAAAGTATAGAGGAAAAAAATTGTAAATTTCCAACAAATGACAGAAGGAAGAAAATCTGGATCCATGGAAAATATTTCTGTAAATTTAGACTTTAGCTTAAATCCTGTTGGTCTCACCTATATATCAAACAACTTGGTATCAGATGTCATTCAAGTAAAGTCAGAATAAAAGGAGAATGTATTGCCATCATACATGATATTACTTTGGTCATATCTAAACAAACAAATAGAAAAAAAACATACTTTGATTATAATCTTGCTATTTTGAAATCAGCTTACTGTAAATTCAGAAATTATTGCGTGCATTTATTATTGCAATTTTTCAGAAATAACAATAATGCAAGATTACCTCGCAATAATTTCTGAATTTACAGTAACTATGTTTTATTCATTGCAGAAATGATACCAATGATTTTTTTTGTTGTTTTCAGTACACAATTTCAATGTTTGTTAAAATGAAGGCAGCTTTAGTAGAAAAGTATATCTCTGTTTGCATGTCATCAGAAGTAAGAATGAGGATATGAAGTTTGCATGTGTTCTAATTACTAGTATTCATTATATATTTTGTTTTATTTTATTATCCTATTGATATTCATCATAAATAGTTTGTTACTTTTTATTTTTTTGTATGTTAAGTCTGTTTATATTAAGTTTTCTAAACACAGAACAGAACTTTCAGAAATACAGTCTAGCTATAGTGTCTGCTTTTAACTTAACTGGCTACAAAACTGAAATGAATAAGTCTACTGTAAATTCAGTAATTATTGTGGTTTTTATTAATGCAAAAAATTGGACAGTTTAAGGTTCACAATAATCCACACTCACATTCATAATTTTCGTAGTGATTTTCCTTTACAAGTTTTTACAATCACATAATTTATATCTTGCATTTTTGCCAGTAGTCAGAGATTTGCAATAATGGATGCATGCATTAATTTCTGAATTTACAGTTTTTAGTTGAGTTATTTTTATAAACCAACCAAGATATATCTGTTGACATCGTAATGTTTTGTTTTTAAATACTTACCCTCTTGGCAATATTGTCTGTAGTTGGAGAATGTATCCTATTGTTATTTGACGTATACAATTATCCTTTTGTAAATATTAGATGAGATTTTTGTTTTTAGATTGGAGAAACTAAATAAACTAATAGTTTTGATTGATCTATTTGAAAACCATTTAAAGCCAACTTTGGTTAAGATTTAGGTTTACTGGTCTAATTATTTTTATGCTGTTGATTTTCTCTCAAATTAATATGGAGATTCCGACAGAAACTGCTTCAATAGTTAAACATGTACAGGATAAATAAATGAAGATACATGTCAATGAGACTGTAACACAAGGAATATCAACACAATGCCAAGATAAATTATATTTTTGATGTTATTGCTGTGAAAATATTTGGAAGTCACCACCAGGTTTGTTTTTATTTCAGTACAAATCAATTAGTCTCGAAACACAGAGTAAAACAGATATATAGAGTGAATAAATGGTAAAATGACAAAATAACCATTGTTTCTTGTTTTTTATATAGGTTAGACCATTGGTTTTCATGTTTAAATTGTTTGACACTAGTCGTTTTGGGGCCCTTTATTGCTTGCTGTTCGGTGTGAGCCAAGGCTCCGTGTCGAAGGCCATACTTTGACCTATAAAGGTTTACTTTTTACACATTGTGACTTGGATGGAGAGTTGTCTCATTGGCACTCATACCACATCTTCTTATTTATATTCATACATATTAAACTGAAACATAAATGATTAAGACAGCAAAAACAAATCTGGTTACCACCTAACATATTCATATCATTAAAACGACAATAACATTTCATATTGAAAGAAAATTCTAAAGACAGAATTTGGAGAAATTGCTATTTAAAGTGACAAAACTGCATTTTTCACTATTTTTTTATACATTCTATACATTTATAGATCTTTTTCATAAATTTCTAATTGATTGTATCTCTGAAATGCATTTAAATGTTCATTCAAATCTGAAAAAAGGCCCAAATACATATACTTCACTTCATATAATCATGTAATTCACAAAGTTTCATACACAATTAATTCACAGTATATTTTATGGATATTTTTACAATATTTTTGATTAATTTTCATTATAGCAAGATATATGTTACTTCTTATTAGACTAAATCTGATTTGAGATTATTTACATACAAGATACCTATTATGATTGTTTGACTAGGATACCCATATATAAGTGTTAGTGACTTTTAATGTAAATAAACATTTTTGTATTGTAATATAAAAGTAATAAAATATGATGTTCAGTAACTTGTCAGAACAAGCATTGTTTATAGTTATTGGTCAGAACAAGAATTATTTATCCTGACTGGTCAGAACAAGCATTGTTTATAGTGACTGGTCAGAGCAAGCATTGTTTATTGTGACAGGTCAGAACAAGCACTGTTTATCCTGACGGATCAGAACAAGCATTGTTGATAGTGACTGGTTAGACCAAACATTTATGATAGTGACTGGTGAGAACAAGCGTTGTTTAAAGTGACTAGTCAAAACAAGCATGGTTTAAAGTGACTGGGTGAATAAAGAAAATAGTGACTGGTTAGATCAAGCATTGTTTATAATGTCTGGATTGAACAAAATTTTTTATAGTGACTGTTTCAAACAAAATTTATTCATAGTGACTGGTCAGAACAAGCATTCTTTATTGTGCTTGGTCAGAACAAGGATTGTTTATACTGAATGATCAGAACAAATATTGTTTATAGTGACTGGTCAAAACAAAAATTGATTAAAGTGACTGGTCAGAATAAGTATTTTTGATAGTGACTGGTCAGAATAGGATTGTTTAAAGTGACTGGTCAGAATAAGCATTGTTTAAAGTGACTGGTCAGAATAAATATTTTTTTTTACTGACTGGTCAGAACAAATATTGTCATAGTGACTAGTTTGAACAAGAATTGTTAAAGAGAGACAAAAGATACCAAAGGAACATTCAAACTCATAAGTTGAAAATAAACTGACAACTCCATGGCTAAAAAGGAAAAAGACCAACAGACAAACAATAGTACACAAAACACAACATAGAAAACTAAAGACTGAGCAACACAAACCCCACCAAAAACTGTAGTCTCAAGTGCTCCAAAATGGTAAGCAGATCCTGCTCCACATGTAGCACCCGTCGTGTTGCTCATGTTAGTACAAACCCGGTAATAAGTCTAATTCGGTAGGTCACATTCTGGTAAAAGTGACTGGTCAGACAAGCACTGTTTATCCTGACGGGTCAGAACAAGCATTGTTGATAGTGACTGGTTAGAACAAACATTTATGATAGTGACTGGTGAGAGCAAGCGTTGTTTAAAGTGACTAGTCAAAACAAGCATGGTTTATAGTGACTGGTTAGATCAAGCATTGTTTATAGTGTTTGGATTGAACAAAATTGTTTATAGTGACTGTTTCAAACAAAATTTATTCATAGTGACTGGTCAGAACAAGCATTCTTTATTGTGTTTGGTCAGAATAAGCATTGTTTATACTGAATGATCAGAACAAATATTGTTTATAGTGACTGGTCAAAACAAGAATTGATTAAAGTGACTGGTCAGAATAAGTATTTTTGATAGTGACTGGTCAGAATAGGATTGTTTAAAGTGACTGGTCAGAATAAGCATTGTTTAAAGTGACTGGTCAGAATAAGCATTGTTTAAAGTGACTGGTCAGAACAAATATTTTTTTTACTGACTGGTCAGAACAAATATTGTCATAGTGACTGGTTGGAACAAGAATTTTTAAAGAGGGGCAAAAGATACCAAAGGGACATTCAAACTCATAAGTCGAAAATAAACTGACAACTCCATGGCTAAAAAGGAAAAAGACCAACAGACAAACAATAGTATACAAAACACAACATAGGAAACTAAAAACTGAGCAACACGAACCCCTGCAAAAACTGTAGTCTCAGGTGCTCCACAATGGCAAGCAGATCCTGCTCCACATGTAGCACCCGTCGTGTTGCTTATGTTAGTACAAACCCGGTAATAAGTCTAATTCGGTAGGTCACATTCTGGTTATAATGACTGATTGGAACAAGAATTGGTTATAGTGACTGGTCAGAACAAGCACTGTTTATCCTGACGGGTCAGAACAAGCATTGTTGATAGTGACTGCTTATTTAAAGTGACTAGTCAAAAACAAGCATGGTTTATAGTGACTGGGTGAATAAAGAAAATAGTGACTGGTTAGATCAAGCATTGTTTATAATGTCTGGATTGAACAAAATTGTTTATAGTGACTGTTTCAAACAAAATTTATTCATAGTGACTGGTCATAACAAGCATTCTTTATTGTGCTTGGTCAGAACAAGCATTGTTTATACTGAATGATCAGAACAAATATTGTTTATAGTGACTGGTCAAAACAAGAATTGATTAAAGTGACTGGTCAAAATTAGTATTTTTGATAGTGACTGGTCAGAATAGGATTGTTTAAAGTGACTGGTCAGAATAAGCATTGTTTAAAGTGACTGGTCAGAACAAATATTTTTTTTACTGACTGGTCAGAACACATATTGTCATAGTGACTGGTTGGAACAAGAATTGTTAAAGAGAGGCAAAAGATACCAAGGGGACATTCAAACTCATAAGTCGAAAATAAACTGACAACTCCATGGCTAAAAAGGAAAAAGACCAACAGACAAACAATAGTACACAAAACACAACATAGAAAACTAAAGACTGAGCAACACGAACCCCACCAAAAACTGTAGTCTCAGGTGCTCCGAAATGGTAAGCAGATCCTGCTCCACATGTAGCACCCGTCGTGTTGCTCATGTTAGTACAAACCCGGAAATAAATCTAATTCGGTAGGTCACATTCTGGTAATAGTGACTGGTTGGAACAAGCATTGTTTATAGTGACTGGTCAGAACAAGCACTGTTTATCCTGACTAATTAAAGTGACTAGTCAAAACAAGCATGGTTTATAGTGACTGGGTGAATAAAGAAAATAGTGACTGGTTAGATCAAGCATTATTTATAGTGTCTGGATTGAACAAAATTGTTTATAGTGACTGTTTCATACAAAATTTATTCATAGTGACTGGTCAGAACAAGCAATTTTTATTGTGCTTGGTCAGAACAAGCATTGTTTATACTGAATGATCAGAACAAATATTGTTTATAGTGACTGGTCAAAACAAGAATTGATTAAAGTGACTGGTCAGAATAAGTATTTTTGATAGTGACTGTTCAGAATAGGATTGTTTAAAGTGACTGGTCAGAATAAGCATTGTTTAAAGTGACTGGTCAGAACACATTTATTTTTACTGACTGGTCAGAACAAATATTTTTTTTACTGACTGGTCAGAACAAATATTGTCATAGTGACTGGTTGGAACAAGAATTTTTAAAGAGGGGCAAAAGATACCAAAGGGACATTCAAACTCATAAGTCGAAAATAAACTGACAACTCCATGGCTAAAAAGGAAAAAGACCAACAGACAAACAATAGTATACAAAACACAACATAGGAAACTAAAGACTGAGCAACACGAACCCCTGCAAAAACTGTAGTCTCAGGTGCTCCACAATGGCAAGCAGATCCTGCTCCACATGTAGCACCCGTCGTGTTGCTTATGTTAGTACAAACCGGGTAATAAGTCTAATTCGGTAGGTCACATTCTGGTTATAATGACTGATTGGAACAAGCATTGGTAATAGTGACTGGTCAGAACAAGCACTGTTTATCCTGACGGGTCAGAACAAGCATTGTTGATAGTGACTGCTTATTTAAAGTGACTAGTCAAAAACAAGCATGGTTTATAGTGACTGGGTGAATAAAGAAAATAGTGACTGGTTAGATCAAGCATTGTTTATAGTGTCTGGATTGAACAAAATTGTTTATAGTGACTGTTTCAAACAAAATTTATTCATAGTGACTGGTCATAACAAGCATTCTTTATTGTGCTTGGTCAGAACAAGCATTGTTTATACTGAATGATCAGAACAAATATTGTTTATAGTGACTGGTCAAAACAAGAATTGATTAAAGTGACTGGTCAGAATAAGTATTTTTGATAGTGACTGGTCAGAATAGGATTGTTTATAGTGACTGGTCAGAATAAGCATTGTTTAAAGTGACTGGTCAGAACAAATATTTTTTTTACTGACTGGTCAGAATAAATATTTTTTTACTGACTGGTCAAAATAAATATTGTCATAGTGACTGGTTGGAACAAGAAGTGTTAAAGAGAGGCAAAAGATACCAAAGGGACATTCAAACTCATAAGTCGAAAATAAACTGACAACTCCATGGCTAAAAAGGAAAAAGACCAACAGACAAACAATAGTACACAAAACACAACATAGAAAACTAAAGACTGAGCAACACGAACCCCACCAAAAACTAGTTTCAGGTGCTCCGAAATGGTAAGCAGATCCTTCTCCACATGTAGCACCCGTCGTGTTGCTCATGTTAGTACAAACCCGGTAATAAGTCTAATTCGGTAGGTCGCATTCTGGTAATAGTTACTGGTTGAAACAAGCATTGGTTATAGTGACCGGGCTGAACAAGCATTATTGATAGAAACTGGTCAAAACAGCAGAACAAGCATTGTTTAAAGTGACTGTTCAGGACAAGCATTGTTAAAGTAACTGGGCGGAAGAAAATTTTTTTATGGTAACTGGTCGGAACAAGCATTGTTCTAAGTAACTTGTGAGAACAACAGAACAAGCATTGTTTATAATGACTGGTCAGAACAAACATTGTTTATCATAGTGACTGGTCGTTGCAAGCATGGCTTATAGTGCCTGGGTGGAACAAGAACTGTTTTCTGTAAATTCAGAAATTATTGCGTTCATTTATTATTGCGATTTTTGAAGATTGGACTAAAATGTGAGATTTATTATTGCGATTTCAGGAATATAGCTATATGTATCGTGTATAAGAATGTGAGTTCCTATTATTGCGATTCTCATCCATTCGCATTAATATTAACCTAGCAATAATTTCTGAATTAACAGTATATTGACTGGTGGAAACAAGCATTGTTTATAGTGACTGGATGGAACAAGAATTGTTTAAAGTGACTGGTCGTACCAGGCATTGTTTATAGTAGCTAGTCAGAACAACAGTAAAAGCATTGTTTATAATGACTGGTCAGAACAAACATTGTTTATAATGTCTGATCAGGACAAGCATTATGTTATTGCGAACCAAATGAAACTTTTCCACAGACTCATCTATTAGTCAATATATTTAAACTTTTGTTAGTTCAATTATCCCATTGAATAAATACAATAGCTATTGTTCTCTGTA